AAGCAGGCCAATGGCATCCTGGCCTGTATCAGAAATAGTGTGGCCAGCAGGACTAGGGAAGTGATCGTCCCTTTGTACTCGGCAATGCTGAGATCGCACCTGAATACTGTGTTCAGTTTTGGGCCCCTCACTACAAGAAGGACATTGAGGTGCTGGAGCGTGTCCAGAGAAGGGCAACGAAACTGGTGAAGGGTCTAGAGCACAAGCCTTATGAGGAGCAGCTGAGGGAACTGGGGTTGTTTAGCCTGGAGAAAAGGAGACTGAGGGGAGACCTTATCACTCTCTACAACTACCTGCAAGGAGGTTGTAGTGAGGTGGGTGTTGGTCACTTTTCCCAAGTAACAAGCGATAGGATGAGAGGAAATGGCCTTAAGTTGCACCAGGGGAGGTTTAGACTGGATATTAGGAAAAAATTCTTCACTGATAGGGTTATCAAGCATTGGAACAGGCTGCCCAGGGAAGTGGTTGAGTCACCATCCCTGGAGGTATTTAAAAGACGTGTAGATGTGGTGTGTAGGGAGATGGTTTAGTGGTGGACTTGGCAGTGTTCGCTTTATGGTTGGACTTGATGATCGTAAGGGTCTTTTCTAAAGATTTTCTAAATGATTCTATGAAAACAGACCAACAGGGTAGAAGTGACTTGCCCAGGTTCATGCAGTAGTTCAGTGATAGCTGAGATTACAACCTCCTTTAACACTTGGCACCAAGCTTTGCCTTCTCCACGTTCTACCTATAAATCTGTCCAGCTGTACTCTAAGATCTAATAGGCCTCTCAGGCAACTTCCTTGTGTTGTGCTTTCTACAACTACCACTCCTTTAATCAGGTTTGTATTTTGAAGACGATTGTTGTTTCAGCTGTCTCCCGTAAATAGGTAAAGATGGTCTTTACGTTATATTTACAACTCCCATGGTAAACTGTTTCCTTCTTTATAGAGATCGGCATACTTTTTTCTACAGAATTGTATTTTATGTGTTTAGGGAGAAACTCATTCGCCTTCAGCATGAGAACAAGATGTTAAAGTTGAACCAAGAAGGTTCTGACAATGAAAAGATCGCCTTGTTGCAGAGCCTTCTTGATGATGCAAACTTACGGAAGAATGAATTGGAGACAGAAAACAGGTAAGAAGTTTTCTCCTCTGTTTCAGTTGACTTTTCTAACAATGCCATATACTTTTGACTGTACTGTGTCCAATACTGGCCTCCCCAGTACAAGAAAGACATGGCCTTACTGGAGTCAGTCCTGTGAAAGGCCACAGGGATGTGATTACAGGACTGCAGCATCGTTCATATAAGGAGAGTCTGAGGGATAGAGACTATGTAGCCTGGAAAAGAGAAGGCTGAGGGCAGATCTTATCAATGTTTATAAATATCTGATGGGAGGGTCTAAAGGAGATGGAGCTAGACCCTTCTCAGTGATGCCCAGTAACAGGGTAAGAGGCAGTGGGCAGAAATTAAAACACATTAAATTTCATCTAAATGTAAGAACATAATTTTTTACTGTGAGGGTTGCTGAACACTGGAATAGGTTACCCAGAGAGGTTGTCTCCATCCTTGGAGATATTTAAAACCCAACAGGACATGTTCCTGGGCAACCTGCTAAATTAAGCCAATCAGCATACAGGCGTCCATGGGACCAGAGAGTGAGCGTCTGAGCATGCTAAGATGGCTGGCTGATACTGGTGTGAGGCTGCTCTCCATCTAAGCTTTGAATCTGCTCTCTATCTAATCTTCCTCAATCTTCCCCTTTGGTTGGGGAAGGTACCTGAAGCCTGGAAAAAGGTAAATACTGCACTCACCTTTAAGAAGGGCAAGAAGGAGAGTTCGGAGAACTACAGAGACTCGTCAGCCACAGCTCATTTTCTGGGAATTTCACGAAGCAAGTCCATCTGGAATCTGTTTCCAACCACATGAGGGACAAGAAAGTAATTGGGAAAGGCCAACATGAATTTATTCAGGGCAAATCATACCCAACTAATCCAGTTGTCTTGACAATGAGATGACTGCCTATGTGAAGAAGAGTGGAACGGTGGATGGTACTTACCTTAGCTTTAGCAAAGCCTTTGGCATAGTCTCCCATAATATCCTTATGTTCAGAATGGTTAGATATAGACTGATTAAGTGGACAGTAAAGTGAGTGGAAAATTGGTTGGAAAGCTGGGCCTAAACAAAATCATCAGTGGTACAAAATCCAACTGGCAACCAGTTCCTCAGGCTTCAATACCAGGACCAATGCTGTTCATCACCCTTATTAACTTGACTAACGGGAGGGACTATACTCTCAGCAAGTTTGAGGATGGTACCACGTTGGGAGGAGAGATTGATATGCTGAAAGGGTAAGCTGTTAATCAGAGGAGCTCAGCAGTCCAGTGAAATGAGCTGATGGGAGCCCTAGCCCTGGCTGGGAGGAGCCTGGCATTGCTGGCTGGGACCAGTAGGCTGGGGAGCAGCTCTGCTGCAAAAGCCCTGGGTTCCCAGTGGGCAGCAAAGGAGGATGTGTCAGCTGGGGACATTGCAGCTGGCTGTGACCTGGGCTGTCCTCACCAGGATGCAGGCAGGCAGTCTGGGAAAATGATCCTTCGTCTCTCGTCAGTACTTATGAGATCACATCTGGACATAGCATATAATTTTGGATTCCCAAGTACAAGAAAGGCATGGATGTACAGGAGCGCAGCAGAATACTGCTAAAGTGAGGGACGCTGGAGCATGTGATATGTGGGATAAGACTGAGAACTGGGTTTGTTCAGGCCAAAGAAAAGGTGGCATAGAGGTGATAATACTGTGATCTACATCTGCCTGATGGGAAAGCATCAATGAGACAGAGCCAGACTCTTCTTAGAGATTTGACAGTGGAAGGACAAGAGGCAACAGACACAATATGGCGTATGGGTCCGAACTCTTTAGAAGAGAGGCCCAAAGAGATTGTCAGATCTCCATCCTTAAAGGTGTCCAAACCTGGACTGGACGTGTTTCCCAGCAATCTGCTGTAAGTGCACCTGCTTTAAGGAGGAGGTTGGATTTAGACAACCTCTGGAGATCCCTTCCAACCTACAGGTTTATAGGATTCTGTGGCTGTGTAAAAGCAGTAAGCTAATAGCTCTCACACAGTAAAACTGACTGTTAGAAACTCTTGTTTCATGTATATAGAAATGATTTCTTAATACATGCATTTATGTTGTCTTGGAAGAGTATCAGAATGTTCTGGATGACTACAGGCTATAATCTCTGGAACTGCTGTATGCTCTAACTACTGTTGTAAATTTTCTGTGAATAAAATACAGTATTGCAGCTCTTGCGTAGATGACCTGAAAACACTGGACACTAAAAATCTCAGGCTTCCTCTTGCAGTTGTTTGTTTTTTTCTGAAAAACAAAATATTATCTCTCTCCTAGATTGGTAAATCAGAGACTTCTAGAAGTGCAGTCCCAGGTTGAAGAACTACAAAAATCTTTGCAGGATCAAGGTTCAAAAGCTGAAGATGTAAGTAGAAATGTACATCAAACTTACATTCAAGTAGTTACTGTTTTTGAAACTTTCACCTTTTTGTAAAAAAATATGTAAAAGAAATATGCAGATGGAGATTTCTGATAGTTTTCCATATTTATTTGTATGGTCTTATCACTACATTGTGCTTCTCTAAATAGGATGTAAGGCATAGGAAGACATTTGTCTAGAAAATAAAGCCATCCTATGTAGAGAAGGTGTCAAATAAGTTTTATTTGATTAATTGTGTCTGTTCCAATAGTAAACTTAGCGTTAAAATTATTTAATTAGAATAGAGAGTTTTGCAGGGAATTAAGGAAATGTTAATTCTCCATGTCTTAATAAAGTATCTGAAGTTATTTTTAGTTTAGTTTTCTTAATGAAAGTTAAGGCCTTTTCTGCCAGTGGAAGCTCTGTAATTGTGGATGTAAATGTATCTTGTAATGCAAGAAGCCAGGCAGGCCAAAACTGAAAAAAAGTCAAATAATTAGGCCCTCAACATACTGCAGCATTTTCTGTTTCTGTATACGGACTTAACTTGATTTTTAATGGAAGAATACACATTGTGGCAGAGTTAGTGTGGAAAACAACTTTCAGTCTTCCACTCAAAAATTGTGTTTGCCATCTCCTGTATTTGAGAGAAGAAGCTCTAGAACTTTCTTGAAAGCAGTGGTTTGCTGGACTGTACATGCGCAGTGTATGCTCACAATCTCAGTGTACTGTGTTGCTAATTGGCAACAAGTTGTAATGTGTTGCTTTCTATTTTTGTGGTTTTGTTTTAACAAGTTTATATAAAACAGTGAAAGTTTTTACTAGCTGCTTATTTTCATTTAAGAGTGTGTTTAATTTAGCTGATCCTTTTAATTTTCAGAATAAACAGTATGAAAGTAAAACACCTAGTTGAGTTCAAATAAGATTATTTTCCTAAATAACTTAGAAGGCATTTTAGAATGCATTTTAAAATAGGTCCATACTATTATGTGATTCTGAGATATTCTTTGCTGTCTTGGTTATTGGCCAAAATCAGATTTTTCAGGGGTGAACAAGAATATATTCTCAGATACTGAGTATTGTAAATGATCCCTGTCTAATTGAATTGGGCTTTATTTACTGCAATTTTAATTGTGTCCCTTTTGGAAGCTCTGGTTGGGACAGTAATTTAGGATGTGTCTGCAGCTCTTACAGGACTGGTTGCAGCCTATGTAGGCATCATCTGAGATGATTAACAGCAAAACACCACCATCACAACACCACGGTACAGCCTGCTGTGTGTACCAGGCAGTCCTTGTCAAATCAGAGCTGGCAAGTTCATGATGCAGTTGCTGCACTCCTGGCTTCTGTGTAGGTGTGACCATGCCAGTGGTGATTTTTAGGCACTAATCCCATGGCCTGTTTTGCTGAGTTCGGTGTGTAGGATTTCATTTACTCTTAAGAGGCGAAAGAGAGAATGTAGACTCAGAGAAGTATTGAGGCTGCAAGAACCTCTGAAGGTATGGACGCCTCATCCAGTCTCCCACACAAAGCAGAGCAAACCTCAAAGTTAAACCCAGCTGCTCAAGTAGATGGAAGTTGTGCTGGGACCACCTGAGTTATCCTTAAGATATCCTACAAAAAGAGTGATTCTTCAGAAGCATGAGAAAAAGGATAAGGAGAGACATGGCATACAGTTCATTGACGCATCATTTTCAGCACGTTTCCTCTGTTTTTCACTACTTTTCTGCAACAATGCACTGAAATCCGTATTTTTGTATACTTCTACTGTAAATATGCTCAACCCAGAAAACTGAAGATCCCATTTGTATTCAATCCAGAAATGTATAATGAGGGCTTGGGTTTTTTTTTTTTTTTTTTTTTTAGTTTTGTTTGTTTTCAAAGTTGAAGTAATTTTTAGGCTTGCCCAAAAAGTAGTAAAAGCACAATTCTAACCCAGGCAAGTATCATTGCAATGATACATGCTGCTTGCTGAGGTCCACATGGGGGAAGCAGTTTTGATTTTGTATTGAAGTGCAGTAGCAGGTGGATGTTAGGAAGGTGTCAGTGCCATTAGGCCTGTAATGGGCACTGACACATCCTGTTGAGATGATAATTAGTCCATCCTGACTGTTGCCTTGCTAGCCAGGGAAAGGCCTCCTTACCCGAGTCTTCCAGACTACAGAATCAACTCAGACATGCCTGGTGTGGTCAGAATAGCAGGTTTGATTTATTGTCCTCCAGAATGCAGTGGTCTTGTATAGGGCTGCTCAGCAGGTACCCTGAACAGCTTTGACTACATCATTTGCATGCCTTATTATCACTCTCTCTTGTCATCCTTTTTCTCCCTTTCTCTGCCCTAATCCCTTCCTATATAAACAACCTGCCTTTAATTACTTCTACCCCACTGGACCTAGTCTTGCTAAATCCATACCACATCTGGTGTTTCTCATACTGTTACGTATGCAGTCTTGGCCTTATATGCTGTTACTGATACAGTTACTAAGTCCTCCTGACTTGGCACCTCCCTAAAAGGTCCCCAAAACTCTGTTACCTGTTTGGTTACCTATGAAGTTCAGCCACTTTGCTCATTTGGTGAAGCACTGGCACAGGTTGCCCAGAGAGGTGGTGGATGCCCCATCTCTGGAAACATTCAAGGTCAGGTTGGACGGGGCTCTGAGCAACGTGATCTACTTGAAGATGTCCCTACTCATTGCGGGGGGGTTGGACTAGATGACCTTTAAAGGTCCCTTCCAACCCAAACCACTCTATGATTACTCTTAGCGTCTGTGAAATCTGACCATCCCTCATGGTGCTGTTTATAACTTCTGTCATCTTCTCACAGCGTTACCAGTCTCATCAAGGAATTTTCTCAAGTCATGTGCCATAGTTTCCCTCACCCTGCTAAGTTACCTTATCCTCAAGCCAGAGCCTAGCCATCTGCCTGTGGCCTTAACATGCAGAACAAAACCAAACTTTGTCCTCAAAAAGGGGACAGACCTGTTCCTTTGGCTTGTTTAAGCATGAAAGAAATTTCCAGGAAAAAGACTTTATTTCTGTAGTTTTTTTGATGTAAAAGAAAGGTAGCAATTAATTACTGGGGAGGATACCTGTTTTCTAAAACCACACCATAATAAGTATTTTTTTTCTGGTGTTCTGTAAGTGAAGCTTGTTAGCAGTGGGAGGAAAAAGCAAAATAGCGAGTGTGCATTTGCTGATTTTTACAGTTTTGTTATAGAAATGTTCTTCTCTTATGAATAGATAAAACATTTGAATGAAGTTAAATATAAAACTAGCTCAAAATTAGATAAAGCTTTCTTTTTTAATTGGGATTTTTTTTTAAGAGACTGGTCTTCCTATGAGAGAACAACAGTTAATAGTAATTACTTGTTAGGAGCAGAGGATCTGGATATGTGGCTTTGAAGCTGACTGAGACTTCAAAAAAAAGTAATGTTTGCGCATTTTTAGAGTAATTTATTTGAATTTATCTGCCTTGCTACAAGTATATACAGGATCTTTGGGTGGCTAAAATCGCACATTTTACCTTTTACTCTTTTTCCTAATCTCGTGTCTTGGGTAAATTACTCTGGGTAAACTCAGTCCTGCTTCTTTTAATTGTGTGTGCTGTTTATTGTTGTTAGTTTCTTGCTTGTGAGAACATATGATCTGTCTAGATGGGAGAGGGGTTACTCCCACAACAGTGCTGGTACTATGCAAATAATATATATGAAAATATACCAGTGGAATCAATGTTGACAAGTAGTTGTGTCTGTTCCAAGCTAAACCTAAAGTGCAATACAAGGATCACAAAAGAAAAGCTGAGTTCAATTTTTATTTTCTTACCCCAGGAAAATGAGCACTGCTGCCAACTTTTTCCTTTCTTGTTCAAACCAACCAATAGTCCCCTAAATGATCAGACATAAGTGATGGTGCCAGTTCAAATGCTTTGTGACCAAGAAAGATGCATACAAACGTTTATTGTTACAGAAAAGGTGGTGTTGCTGCAGTTGTTCAGAGGACTGGAAAAGAAAAAAGCAAAATGGTCAAAACCTGCAGATCCTTAGCTGCTACGAATTTCTGACTCTGAAATCAGTAGAGTCATGCTGGCTTGTTTTTACATGCTCCCTGCCTTTCTTATAGTGCAATAAGGAAATCCAACTTTGAAGTAATGAAAAAGCATGACCCAGGAATGTGAATATTTTGAAGTATTTACACTATAACAAAGCTAAAAGCCTTTTTGGGTGCACACAGTAATTGTCTCTGTTGGCCAGGTGTCTAAACCTTTGTTGAAAGACCACCGGAGAAAAAGCAATGAAGTAATTTTGTTGATGATTTTATCTTATATTATGATGGCATTCTAGACCATCAGTCACATGTTAGACCTCCAATGTGATTGGTACTGGATAAATACAAACCAAAAAGGCAATTTCTGATTTAAATATTCTACATTTGTCTTGTATTCAATCAGTGTGGCAGTAACACAATTCAGAATCACTCCACAAAAACACACGCATCTCTTAATTTTGGTTGTAGCCCAATAGACCACATATTTTCTCCTGTTTTGTTACTTGTATGATTTTTGTTTTAAAATGACTTTCCAAAATAGCAGTTGCTCTCCTTTGAAATTCTGGTTTAAACACAATGATTTACAAATGTGCTTCTTTACTATTTTTATATTTTTGTTTTTAGTGATATGTTTTAGAAAATGTTACAGGATGAAACTGCTGATGAGAACAGAGGCGAAAAATGTGCATGCGTGAAAAAATGCAGAGCTTTAACTTTTTCTGTTCATGACTTTCTAAATAGTTTCTTCTGTTGGCTGCTGTTTTGCTTTATACTAATGTCATCTCTGTTTCTTGGCATGGGCTTCTGCTCAAGGCTATTGTGAGTATGGCTTTCTATTTACTTAACACTACTTTCAGTTTATAGACATTTATTGGGTTTGGGTTTTTTTTGAAAGATACTCACTGTGTATGAAGTGAGTTTAAAATTAAAATAAAATTTACTTTGAAGCTTTTATTCAAAAAGCTTATCTAAATGTGATTTAACCAGAAAGTGGAACACTGTAAGTTGTGTGATAATTTTTACTTGTCTGTAATCATAAAGATGAGAAACAGAAAAAGGGTAACATTTCTTCTATTCTCCAGTCAGAAACACTCTATTCCCTCTAGTTTCTATGGAGACAGGAATTTACTTCAGCTAATTTGCTGCATGTCTTCATACGAATTGCATTGCCATATTGATAGGGCAGCTCTTCTAGCAAATTTTGCTGCACTTTACAACTTCAGATTAATTTATCAAGTTCTCGCTTTTATTGATCTAGTTCCTGGGAAAATATTTGTAAAGTTATAAAGCACTCTAATTTCAGGAAAGTCACACAGCTGTGGAGAGAAGGATTACTACCACAGAGGATGGCTTTACAGTTGTGATCTAAAACTGAGTGAAGTAAAAAGTTGGATTTTGGTTAGAATGTCAAAATTATATGTTTTAAAATAATTTTGAAATTATTTTAAATATATTTTAAACATATTAAAACATTTAACTTTCTATTTTAGTCAATTCTTCTGAAAAAGAAACTTGAAGAACATCTGTAAGTATTTTGTTTGCCTATTTCGTTTGCCATTTGAAATGATGTGTTTTCCGTATGGTAAGGAAGGCAGACAGTCATTAATCATGCATCTGGAAAATATACAACTAAGAGAAATTAGGTAACACAGGAATGTTTGGGAATCTGCTGTTCAGGTACTATTTTCATCTCATAGAAAACCTTTGTGGAAGCAGTAAGAGCGGTGAAGGAACCATCATTTTGTGGTGATTAGAAAACTTTGCTTAACATTGTGTAAATCTTTACTCAAGAGGAGTAAGTAATTTTGTTCTGAGGAAAGCATGTTAATGTAAACAAAATTATTTTGTTTACTTTTTAGTATACACTATGGCATAAAAGGTAACATTGTAGGAAGTGTTATCATTTTGTTCTGCTATTTCTGCACCTCTTTTACTTCCCTAAAATGCAAAGAGCTGTTTGCTTTTTGACTGGCTTGCCAAAAAAAAAAAAAAAAAGTAGTTTCTGTTGCCTTTGGGTTTAGCCATTCTTTCTCAATGTAATCACAATTACAAGTGTTCATTTTAGGCATGCATTGTACAATTAACCGCAAGTTCTAAATTAAGTTTATAATTACTGAGAATGAAGCTGTTTATTACAGTTCTCCAGACACCGTAATGTTTTTCAGCTTATTTAACAAATATTTCCACAGTGACGCTGTCATTTGTCCTCATGCCCCACAGCAAAAATCAGTTGTGCTCTCAGAAATGTATCACTGTCTGAGAATTCTTTGTATTGCTTAACGTTCATTTAAGCACAGTAATAACACTGGGAAAACAATATGTGCTTTTATGGTTTGTAACAGTGAGAAGCTCCATGAAGCTAACAATGAGCTACAGAAGAAACGAGCTATTATTGAGGATTTGGAACCAAGATGCAATAACAGTTGTGAGTTACCGGTGCAGTCCATTTCTTTTCTTTGTAAAGTATTTCACATGCAAGGTCTTTAATTATAATACCTATAGGAGGTGCAAGATAAACAAAATGTACAATGGCAGTGATATGTATGTTGGTAATTTCTCTGGAAGCTATGGTGACCAAAAAGATGCTTCTAACACTTGAAATGCAGGGGGTCACATTTTAGAGACCACCGTAGTGAGAAATGACAATGGCCATAGAAATACCAAGTCACTGTCATACCTGTCATTGAACCTCAGCTGTTCAGAACTGTCATGTCTCCTAAGACCCTAATTTAGGAGATCCTTGCTTTTTAGGAGATCTATCACCAGGTTATTTTTACTCCCAATATATTTGTGTGCTTTCAGAACTGTGTTATAATTTGAGAAAATTTTTGGACACTGGTCAAAGAGAATGTAGGATATATGTCATGTTGCTCAGATGGTATCCAGAACCCAGCATCCAGTTGTTTTTTAGCACGTTAATGCTACTTTTTTCCTGAGAAGTATTGAAGGAGATAGACTGGTTTTTCTATAATAAGTCTACTTTTATTATTAATAATAATTATTATTATTATAGAATTATATATAATTCTATTTGTTATAGAAATAATAAATCTACTTATTATAGAACAAAGCAAAAGATTGCAACCAATGGCTGCTTTTCTGGTTTGTGCCAAAACAATTTTATTCATAAAGAGATTGAGGAAGATAGAAGTATCAGTTCAGTATTCATTACATACATTCTGTATCCAAAAAGAATTTTCATTTGTGTTGAGCTAAAACTGCAGAATATGTTATAAATTCCACGAATTAGGAAATGTTAGAACACTTGGAAATGAAGTCCAGGGACTTAATGAATAGCTAATAAACACATAATCCTGTCGTACTTGATAAGCTTCAGTGCGAGTGTAATAGCAGTCTTCTGACTCGCTCGCTTCTAAACATTAGAGCATATTGAGGCTTCTGTAGTTAGTTTACTGAAATTACAAGTTGCTTTTTAAAAATCTAGGTCTCAACTTTTGTCTTGGTAAAGTAAAAATAGTTGTACCATCTTTCTTTCCACGCTCAGGAAATGTGTGTGTATTTTTTCAGATTCTTTTAACTATCCTGGATATGGCCAAAATGCTTGGACATTGTACAAGAGTCATGGCACATTTTGAAAAATGGATTCTTGCAGTCTTGGAGACCATCTGCTATTGGTCCTCTTACTGATCAATGAAAATCTTGCTTGGTCCTGTTACCAGCTTAGTATTTTCTGAGTGCTTAGAGAGAAAACTGTAGGAAAAATATGAAAGAACATTTCAAAATGAGGCTGCAAAACAGATGGACTGAGGGTTGCCAGTTATCTAATGTTGTCTGAGAACCAGACGTCAATGTTATATGCTATTTGATCCAGGATGATGCAATTGATTTTTTTTTTTCTTCTGAGATCTGAGAAGATGTATAGAAGATGTATAAGCAATAGTGGCTTGACATATTCTTATATCAACACAGGAAAAGGCTGTGCAACGAAATTGTCCTAATGGTCTGCCCTGTTGCTTATGAAAATGTGGGGGAAAAATTAAATTGAGTATATTCATGTCACAAGTCTGATAAATTATGTCCAGTGTTGCAGTTCAGCAGATTTAAGCAAGAGTTGTGCCTGTTAAGAATTACTCCTCTTACATAAAATAGGAAAACTCATGTTTACCTGAGTTACAATACCAAGATATTACGGAATCTGTAATTCATTAGTAAACTCATTTTCTAAGTGTGTTCACTCATGGGATTGATTTATGATTCCATTTCTCTTTATTTTTTCATAATTTAAAAAAACCCAAAATTTGTGTACACAACAGCCATCTCATGAGATTATATAGGAGTACACATTTTTAATGTGTTTCTGAGCTGGTCAGTAATTAAAACTATGGTATCTGCTACCTCAGGTTCCTTACGTTAGCTTTTCTTAACTGAAATAAATTTTAGTTGTGCCTTAAATGTCTGTTGAAAAACAAGAAAATAAACATAATATAATTTCTGTGCATCTCCTGACATAAAGCGCTCAAAATTGAAGAATTACAAGAAGCTTTACGGAAAAAGGAGGAAGAAATGAAGCAAATGGAAGAGCGATACAAAAAATATTTGGAAAAGGCCAAAAGTGTAAGTATGTGTGTTGCACATTAATGATCCCTCTCTGACAGACTGCACCACATGTCCACTCTGCAGGTATAAAAATAAAGGAGGTATCTGTATACACACTAACATGTAAAAGAGAAGGAAGGCCCAGTGGGTTCTTTGTATCTTCCTACCATTATGGTACCTAATACTGATTAATTATGCAGAAGATTTTATCCTGGTTTCGTGTTCATGACTGTCCCCTTTTGCTACCTATCCATAAGTCCTTCTGATGCCTCTGTACAAATGTATACCCACTGCTACAGATTTCTGAGAGTCACCCAGACAAACCTTGTTAAGCATGCTTCCATGTCAGCTGATGACAAGGAGAGGGTGTTAACACCTTTCTAATGCTGTGGTAACCTATTTCTTTGTAGAAATTCTTCTGGACTTCTGTCTCTGAGTGACAAATGCATAGATCAGCTAAAGCGGTATCTGTACTAGGACTGGTGGTATAGAAATAACCGAAATAGCTGTGCTCTGTATTAGAATTGGAGAACCATCCATCTAAACCAACTCAAGGGAAGGAAGCTCTGTGAGCAAAAGTATTCTTTAATTGGCATTTGTGCTGGGACTTTTGGGGACTTCTGGCACAATTGTCATGAAGAGTTCTACCTCTTTGTACACACAAATACAGCTTAGTAACACCAAGTACAGGCACAGTTGGACCAACAAACTCTGGTTTTATCAGTTTGGCAGAGAGGGAAAAGGAAGTTTGGGGGTCTTTCCTTCACAGGTGGCTGGATCTGATTATGTTTGTTTCTGGATGGTGTAGGCTTCTTGTGGTGCTCAGTCAGTGAAGTCTGTCTTACCTGGAGCAGATAATTTGATACACTTTTTTATAAATACAGCTTTTAGCTACTTCAGATTTCATCGGGTCGTAATTGCTTACATAAATTGCTTATTCTTTTTGAGGGGCTCAGAATTTACAGGCAGAAGTAATTACACATGTGTCAGAGCCAACTTTACCAATTTAAATTTGATTTTGCTTTCTTTGTTCATCTTTTGCCCCTGATTTCTATTCATGTTCTGGTTTAGCTAACTGGTTTAGAAACTGTTTTAATATGGACTCTTTTATTGATGCTTTTTCCAAGTAAAGTGATCTTTTTAACTGAACCACCTTTGAGAGCTGTTACATTTCTCTGATGATGTTCAGCATTCTCTTTGCCTTTACTGTTTAATACATGCTTCTGTTGAGAAGGTGGCTAATATTTAAGTATGATATTGAGGATGTGGTATACTACCAGCTTTGAAATGGCAATATTGTGGTCTCAATCATAGTCCCATTTCTTCTCTTACTATACCTTGATATTTTATTTGAGTTTCTCGAAAGCATACCAGTGTCTTTGTTCATCTGATCATGGTAGTATCAAGATCTTTGCTATGGCTGCGTATTTTTAAATTGGAATCTGTAAGTAGGTTCCTAATGTGGCAAAACCTAATGCTTCCTTCCTTTACTTATGTGTAGTTTCCTCAGTGACTTGCTGTGAGACATTTCAAAAGTCTTCAAGAAATCTAAACAAATAATTTTTAATTTTTTTTTTTTTACATCTTATGTTGCTGACTGTGTCTCAGAGTATTCCAGTGAAAGTCAGTGTCACAATTTCCCTTTTCAGTAAGATTTGTTTATTTTTATGTACTGTGTTACTATAGGGTGTTTTATATAACAGTAGCATTAATTATTTTAATTAGGTTAGCTTTTTGTGATCTTCTTATCAACTTTCAGTTTTGTTTTGGTTTGGGTTTTTTTTTTTGTGAAGACGTATACAATCGTTCTAGCCTTCCCCTATAGAAACTGTATCCAGGTCTAATGTGTATTTTCTTAGAAACATAGTACACTTTTATGAATCTTCTTTCATGAGTACCATTCAGTAAAAATTACTTACTAAAATTTAAGGCATTGTTTTATTTCAGCATCTGGACACAATTCTGAAATGGGTAGAAAGACAAAAGATGTGAAGTCTCTTTCTATATATCCAGAGATTGTTAAAAAGTTTTAAGCTATTTTCTATTAAAGGCTTAGGAATCTAGGCATTTTGCTGGATTTGTTCTTGGTTTAGCACTGTGTTTGCGAGCACTTATGCTACCCGTGATGGATGACACATATGAACATAACCAGGTGTCCCTTCATCTCATTAGTAACATAATGATCATGCATGTGCCACAGAACGCTTCTTGGCTTAACAGAGGTATCTAGAAATGACAGCACCTGGTACCTCAGGTAGGTGCATCATGGCATCTTTCCATAAGGACCAAAGTGGTCCTTCCTGAAGCAGGAGGAATTGACAGGTGGGTAAACCTTAGCTATAAAGAGAGAAACCTTTGAGAAAATGTTTCTACTACTGTGGCCCCAAGGTAAGTGCAGCTGGGGTTAGGAACTGCATATGTGTGTCTGGGATACTGAACCTCTTAGGTGTCAGTTTTCCTATCGGTAGTTTTGTTTCACAGTCCTGTAAAAGAGAGCCCGGTTCAAATGCTGTAACGTATCATGGCTGATGTTCAGAGGCAGAGCCTCTGTCATGCTGGCTGTCAAGATTGCTTTACAGGAGTCAGCTTAAAACTGCACATCCGTCTGTTTCACATTTTGGAATGTCATTTCTTACCACTGACATGTTTTAAGTGACTTTTTTATTTCCTAACCTGACTTAAAAAGGTTGTAATTCCTTGATGTCTTTCCCTTCAATTAGATTGCTTTTGCAGGATTTAATTAAAAACAAACTGGTTTTCTCTTACAGGTCATCCGCACCTTAGATCCTAAGCAGAACCAGGGTGCAGCTCCTGAGATTCAGGCTCTGAAAAATCAGTTGCAGGAGCGGGACAGAATGTTTCATTCATTGGAGGTATTAATCCTCATGTTTCCTGGTAGACGCGTATTTCCTCATTGTTTTTTAGGTATAGACTGATACTTTTATTATACTTTGGTTTTAAATGTATGGTTTTTTGATGTTTGTTTTATAGAAAGAATATAAAAAAACAAAAAGTCAAAGAGAAATGGAGGAGAAATTTATTGTTAGTGCCTGGTACAATATGGTAAGAATCTCCAAAACCTTTTATTTAAAAAAAAAAAAAAAAGAAAAGAAATTATTAATACTAGTTGTTTCTGGGTTGTTTATAACAGTATTCATTCATTTTTTGTTTGAAAAGCATTTTCCAACACACACAGAAGCAAATGCTTTTTAATAATTTTAGGCTATCACTATATAAGAGTATGTTCCTATGACAACCTTGGGGTAAATGAAAAAGAACATGTTTGTTATTTTCAAGTTTTAAAACCAGAAATGGCACTTTCTAGAGGGAAGGATACCTCAGATTACTATTTTGTAATTCCAGCCCTGCAATTATACTGATTTACAGTGCTCAAATTTACTTTCTTCTTTGATCCTCCAATCTTCCAGTTGTTTCTAATGAAGGGGCACAAGAAAAAAGCAGTACAGCTTGCTTGCTGCAGTAAGTGCTCTGAGAAGCAACCTCTTTGACTTGGGTGCAAGTTTAGCCCCATGCAAAGGGTGAGCACAGGGGCAAGACCCTCATTTAAATTATTCAAACCATGAGGAAGTGATCTGTGCAGCCATACAGCTTTTGCTGGGCCTGTATGCCGGGAGATTTTTCACCTTTGTCAAATGTGTTCAAGACCTCTTTGGCAAAGTGTGGCTGCATTCAAACTGCTCTTCAGATAGAAGGAATCCCTGTCCTGTGTAACATTCATGTTTCATTCTGCTTCATCATAGAGTTCAAATTCCTTCTCTCTGTCTTCCCTTGGAAGAGTTTCCTTCTTGCTGTTCTACATTCTTGTTATGTCCATGAATAGTAAGCCAAAAATGGAACTTAAGCAGAGTCTTTGAATCCTTTAACTATTGAAGGCATTTTCAAGTGTCCTTGACCAGTTTTGTAACACTAGTCCCACTGACAAGAAGACGACAAGCCTGAGCTAAGAGCTGTGGTTCAGTAGCCTGTCATGAACACTAAGATGAGCACTGGTTGCTTTGTCTGTCTTTCTCTAATTAGCCTCTGCTTTTATACACAACTACACAACCCATCACAGCTTCCCTCATTTCCTCCTTGCATATGTGCTCCTGCCATACGAGCTGGTATTTTCACAGAGGAAGACAATTCTTGAATTATTTTCAGAAGAAAAGTACTATTCTAGCTCAACATGCTGAAGGGGGCCAGGGTGGGGAGGGAAAGCACTTTTGAAAAGACTCGTACAGTTACCGTGTGTTTATGTGGAGAAGCATATGTTCACATCTGGGACACTGGGGGACCTGCTTCTCAACAGTTACTCCAAACCGGGAAAAGAGATAGGGGGGGGGGAGAAAAAAAAAAAAAGAACAACACACAAAGAATTAGGAAGAATACCTTAGCTTTATCCTTGAAAATATGATGCTTCGTGTTTGAAATTCAAAATAGCTTAGTCAGTGTTGGTGAAGAAGGAGATAATAAACAAAATGTAAATGAGTAAAGTTGTTCAGTGTTATGTGTTGGTATTCACTGAGAAGTTTCTCTTTCTCCATAGGGAATGACTCTGCATAAAAAAGCAGCAGAAGATAGACTGGCTAGTACAGGCTCAGGACAGTCCTTCCTGGCTCGACAAAGGCAAGCCACGAGCACAAGGAGATCTTACCCTGGTCATGTCCAGCCAGCAACAGCAAGGTAGAGAAGCCTTGCCCTTAGAAAGAAAACTGCCCTGTGATCCAGGCCAATTCTGTTGCAAGTGACAACATTCAAGGAAAAACAACCAGCATCCTTTCTCTTTCTCCTGCTATTATTTTACAGTTCAGGAAAGGGTTTTATTATGGTTGCTCATTGTTCTGTAATGCCCTTTGCTTATTTTTTTTGGAGTCCATCTCTCTCTCTCTCTCTCTCTCTCTCTCTGCATTTTTTGAATGTGCCAAAGTTTTGAAAACATCTAGAGGGGTGCTGTATGATAACAGAGTCTTATTTGTATGAAGTCTGGTCTTTTATGAAAAGCCTGGTATGGGCTGTGTAACAATGTACATTTCTTGTCACAGTTGATACGTTTGTGCCTATAAGGGTTGTTACGCTTTATTCAAAGTCTTTTTTCAAAGGGAATTAGGCTTTTTATTTCATGTGCTAACCTGTTGCTTAAAAAAAATGCTGAAAACTCATTACAGAAATGCAAAATTAGTATATAATATTTTTGTGAAATATATTTGCTACTAAAAAACTTACCAATGGCAAAAAGAATGTGGGTTTTTTTGTTTTGTTTTGTTTTTTTAATTTCCTACATGCGGTAATTTGCTCTTATTCTTGGCATTTAATAGGGAAGCAGGATGATTTTTTTTTTTCAGGTTTTTCTTTATCTACTGGTGTTATGTCTTTTGCTGGCAGAGCTGAATATTTTCAAATGGTTTGTTCCACTCTTCTTGGTCAAATGTATGCTTAATATATATTATAAAAGGATTGAGAAATATTTAGAATGCTCTAATATGCTACTGCATCATCCATTTAAAAAGGACACTTGTTTTAAAATTTTATGATTGTGGATGAACAGTACATAATGGATCAAGGCCGCAATTAATATTGTTGATGTTAATGTATTCCAGTTGTCATCCCCTACTAAAAGACTTGCTTTTAATATATTGATTCAGGGTATAATTGTATCAGTTGCCTTACTAATGGTACCAGTGCCTTCAGGTGAGTTTGTTGCTGACATTGTTGGAAACTGGCTGTAATTTGTTGTACTGCCTTTTTGGTGTGTAGCTGGTTAATTGTACATCACTCATTGTAGCACCTTCATGTTGATCAGCAGGGTGGATGGTGGCCCCTACTATTAATTTAGGTTCTGTTCCTACGAAGTTCTGCTTTTTCCCTATCATTTTTGTCAAAGAATTGATGGACACAGAGGACCTGAGTATGGGTTGAAAGTTTCATATACATACATCTTGTGGTGATTCAGTTTTAAACATTTTTCATTTAGAGACTGTTTGGACCCTAATGCACACGCAGTCTGATTTATAAATTTATTCTTTTACCTTATGTTAATGCCCTTCCAAGTGAAGACATTTTTTCATAAATCCCTTTAGAGAAAAGAGATACTCGCATTTATTAATCATCTGAAGGTCTATGTTAATTCACAACTTGGGTGGAATGAGCAAAGGGTAATTAAAACAAGCACACCTAGATTAAAGGGTAAGGAAGAGGTGAATGACACTTTTAGGTACTGTTTTATCCTCAAATACATCATCTGTTTAAATCTAGGCTAAGAAATGCATTCAATATGTGTCTGAAAAAATTTGTCAGTTCTGATTCCCCCCCCCCAGTAATATGAAAACAGATGCTGAAGTCTGTTAACTGCATATAGGTTTGTCTTTTATTGCTCACATTTGGGAAAAAATGATGTTCTAAAAATTCTCTTTACTTATTCAACGTATGACATGTCTGGGCTATGCTTGCAAGATTAGATAAGACAGTGACAGTATCTTCTTCTGTGCAGAAGGGTAGCCATGTAAAGGAAGTTTAGGACAATTTCTGTAGCTCAGTGAGGTGATACTTGGTTTGCTGTCTCTTACTGAGATACAGAATATTAAAGGGACAAGAAGTCATATGTGTTATCTGGCAAGATGACCACAGTTCGTGTGGAACGTCTTTTACTGATCTTATTGTGCAATCCAATCTAGTCACTTGAAGAACTCTTTACTGCATGCCATGTGTGAACAGGAGCAAATAAGATCACTTCTCTGAGGGATTTTGTTGTTCTTGTTTGAGATTACAGCATTTTATATCACCCAGAGAAAGAACCTAAGAATACCTGAAGCTCCATTTTTATTTTAATCTGGCTGGCTCTGTCTGTTACCAAACTGCCAAAGCCTATTTGTGAAAGCAGGGAATACCAGGACCTTGATGGGAAGTTTTATCTCTTAATTTTGTCTAAGAATTTAATTTCCTGCTGCTATTAATTAGGTGCAGGTCTAAAATACCTTGAACGCAATCTGCACACTAGAATAAAACTACTTGCTTTTATTATTTTAATATTTGTTTTACCATTTTGCCTCCAAAGTTTTGATGACAGGCAAATGCCCCTGACGGTTAGGAGATGAACAAATGCTTATTAGAAGGCTCATTTTTAGCTTTTACTTTCCTATCTCTCATGGCTTCTTTTGCTTCTTGGTGGTTGTTGGCTTTTATCTTCTGCTTTGTCATTCTGGTTGGTCTTTCCTTTTCCCTTAAGATAAGACACTGAAGTATTCTATAGTTCCCTTCAAGAATATATAGATAGCATCATTATATAGCATCAAAGAGCAAAACAAGACTAACATTGAATCTGTGCTTTACTGTTGCTCATAGTAATTGTTAGGCAAGACTGAACAAGCATTTTGTCTTTTGAGAATTCACAAACTTGTAGAAATTCTGGTATTTCCCAGAATTTTTGTTGAATATAAATATCTAAAAATATACTGCAATCTTACAGAAATATACTCTGTTGCTATCCAGTTCCAGTAAGTCATTTGTTCTATTGTCTAATGGTAATCATTAGGAATTTAATTCCTTGTTCTTCAGTGTTTTAGTTCCATTATTTGCTGCATACATCAATTCTTAATCTTTGGGTGTGGATGAATGCAGGTGGTGAACATCATTAAACCTTCTCTCTCACAAGAACAGCTTCTTTATTGAAAGGGTTCAGCTTCATTATTTTCCTTGCCTGTTATGTAGCTTTGGAAGTAGTGTGGTATTAAGAAAAAGAAGGGGCTCAGAGTGTGACTTCAGGGAATAAGCACATGTATAGATGAGCTACCAATGAATGCTGTCTATTTGTCTTATCTTCAGTAATAAAAGAATATAAGCAAAAAAACCCTGTAAAACAGAATTCTCTCAGTACATTAGATACTTCTAAGAAGCTTTTAGGAACACTTTTTCTGGGGCAACAAGGACTATTTACATCAAAATTGTAGTGGTAATTATTAAACCAATGCTATATCCTGTCCTGATACACTACAAAAAAACCCTGCAGATTGAGGTTAAAGACAAAAGGTTCTCCAGGGCAGCGATAAAACAGCTAAAGAGTTCATGAGGGTACATTCCTGAGCACTGTGCCGAGGATCTGCCCAAAATAATCTTTCTGAGATTTTAATTAATGCTAATAAAAGGTAACAGTTAAATGGACGAATATTTTCATTGTTCAGAGCTGAAGCTTAGTTTCTGGTCTTAAGATGTGTGTGCAGTCCAGTTTGTATACTTCCATGGAGAGTTAACATATCTGATCAGGCATTACAGAAAAGAATATTCAAGTTCCCCATTTTCTTGATAGCAACACGTAACCACTTGGATCATAACGTGTATTTTCCAAGTGCTGTGAAAACTGAAGTAATCTAATTTAAAGGTTGTGTGTTCCACCCACAGTGCAAAGGAAAATAAACGACTAGAGCACACAGCTTTATATATTGTAAAATGAAGTAAATATATAATGGCTACAAATGCTTTTCATTATCTCTTTGGAAATAAGCAAATGGTAATCTTGTCCTGTTCTGATGACTCTTGAGATAGCAGTAATGCTTCTGCAAGTTTTCTGTGGCTTTCTATTCATGTAAGGAGCACCAGCAATTTTATATTAATTGTGTGTGAAAGAATTAACAGTGAATATTCCTATTACTGCTTTATGATGATCTTAAATAGTAAGTGGTATGTGCAAGCTATCAAGAAAATTTAAGAGGATTTGGCAATTTTAAAGTCAAAATTTTAAAATTTTAAAATTTCAAAGTATTTTGACATGTGCAAGTAGCTTTTGCATTTCCTCGGTTCTCTACTATGTGCAACTACCCACTTAGCATCTTCCTGGATGATTTTTAGTGGGTTTAATTGTCTTGATGTGTTGACATTTTCTGTAGATTTGGTAATTGGAAAATATTTTAATTTCACCACTTGATGTTCTTCTAGTTAGTGATTTGGAGGAAGACTGTCCTGAATGTGGCTAATTTTTCTTTTTCTTATAAAGCAAAACAGTACCTGTATTTTACTCATTTTATAGAGATTTTTATTCTTGCCCGACATTCTGACTTTTTGCAAGGATTGATGAGGGAGGTATTTTTGCACTCAGTCAGCTATGCAATACTGACTTCATACAGGGTTTTGCACATGTGTTTTAGGTAGAATGTGGACTCTGTGTTTTGCAGTAATATTGTACTGATAAACTTCGGTATCTCCAAACCAAGTTTAGCAAATTTTGCAGGCATTTTCCTCGCTGGTATTGTGCAAATAAATAGCTAAAAGAAGTTGTTCTGTCAGGAAATACTTTCAAGTGGTGTTTTTTCCTCTAAGCCAAGTAGTCATACTTCAGGGGTGTCGCCTATGGAATAGTTTGGTAGCTGGATTACGACTGAAAGGTGATCTCAGGAAATCAAGCACTTACAAAGAAACCTTTTCAGAAGCCCTTCCTTAGAACAACTGTATTAGCTGACGCTGGTAGTATGATACATTTAGCATTCTGTTAAAATGAAGAGGTGAATCGTTATAACAGTTTTAATGTAAAGATCAGGTAAGCTAGAAATTCGGTGAATGAGGTTTTGAACCTTACAAACTGCACACAGCCCAGACACGTGTCCCCTCCCAAATCTGAGCAGTCCGGCTCCCTTCTGTATTGGCAAGAGCACTGCATTTCGACTTTGTGCCTTGCATCGGGAGAAAGAAGTGAAATCTTGCGTTATCTCACAGGTTGCTGTAGGAGCAAGTAACAAATCTCACTTGTGCTCAGAACATCTCCACAAGCCGAATCATATTATTGGCTTGTGGCAGATGTCAGATTCTAGGTAGGATCCTAGCCATACCTCTAGTTTGTCACTTTCAAGGAATCAAGAAAATGTTCTGACATGACTGATTGCATTGCCTTGCTCCTGTGATCTTTCTTCCCCCTGGAAGTCCAGAAAAGGAGCAGAAGCTCGTCAGTGACTCCGCAGGCTATAAGTAAAAATAAGGGGTGATTTCTTTGGTTTGAAGGTGGAGGAGACAGATGCAAGCAACTATTAAGTACAAAAATCTGAAGAGCAGTATGTCTTTCACCATTTTGCTTTTTTGGTGTTAATTTAAAAACAGTGAAACAGAACCTCAGCTTTTGGAGCTGTTTTGTTTTGTGTTTTGTTGGGTTTTTTTTAATTAATTTTGAATTGCAGTTGATTAAGTATTAGAGGCCTTACCTATGTGAATAAGGCAGAAGCTGTCATTACTAGCCACAGCAACCTCAGACTTCTTGCATCTGGTACAGTGAACCCCCAGAGATTTTGACTGTGCCCCCAGCTTCATTGCACCATTAGACGTTGAGAACTTACCTAGCTTTGTCCTCTGTTTTTCCTTGACTTTACTTTGTGGATTCATTGAAATATTGGGACACAAAGTTCATTTTTTTAAATGTATCAGCTCATTGAATTAGGTAATGAAGGAGTGTCGATTGAGGAGCTCTAGAAAACTTGACAAATCATACAGTCCCACGGGGCATTGAAGCAACACCTGGCAGTATAGCCAAGGCAGCTTCCCAGACAAATTGTTCTGGTGTCAGATTGTAGTCAGTGGATCAGTAGGAGCTCATGATAACTGCTGTAATTGAAGTCCTCATCTAGTAGTTGCTAGGGGATGCTTTGCTGTTAACTTTACTATGGCCCAGATTCTAACCTTCACTTTTAGGCCTTGCCAAGGTAATGCAGGACTGTCCTGAAGTAGATCTCTGCATTAGTTGGCTCTGGTGGCAAATCAGGAATTTCCTCTACTGCTGTTTGCTGTGTGTATAAAGTCATTTGGAAAACTGCATATCCTTCAGTCTCCTTTGCACTGCGTGTTGGTTCCAGACTGAAAGCAGATTCCATTTGTCAGATAAAAATTTCCTGCTGCTGTCTTGTTGCTTTGGATCTCGGAGATTGGTCCATACAACAGAAAACCATTGCTAGGAGAGGGAAATCCAGGACAGTTGGGAAGCCTTTCCTGTCTGGTGGTGACTTTATGCATTGCTTCGCATTAGAGAGGTCCTTTACTATCAGATGAAGTTAGAATATCACATTTCAGAAAGAGCAACATGGTTATTCTAATCGTTACAAAAGTGGTCATTTGTCAGCACTTTGAAGAGCTGTCAACTACTGTAGCATGGCACAAATCTGAAATACTGCAAAAGCAAGTATTTCCACAGGTACAGGATAGCTTATTCTGCAAATAGAACTTGAATCCCTAATGATTATCCCTAACTTTAAGAGAAGAGAAAATCAACATAGAGGCCAATTGTTAGCTTGTTAACGTGCTCGTGGTGTTAGCGTGATCGTGAAAATGAGCAGAATTTTAAGAGAAAATCCCAAATGGTGTAATATTTATGGAGTTACAAAACAGCTGTACTGAGACCATCAGACTTGATTTGGATTTGAATATAACATTCGTTATGTAATTTAAAATTTTGTAAAGCAGAGATTATAGTTCTCAGTCACCAAAGATTAGTAAGCAGGAGAGTAAACCTATTTCCTGGAGGTATCAGTGGTTTCGAGAGAGATTTTAAAGCTTTTATTTAGCAATATCAGTAAAATCTTGGAATAGTTATAAGCATGACATTATAAGGCTGCAATTCTTAGAATTTATAGTCCACTTTGTATTCTCTGGTTGTAAGAGTTATAAAAATGCAAAGTGGTGTTAATACAGCTCTGGAAGATGCTATGTTGAAAGGCTCCTTTAAAAAATCTAAAGGAAGTACCATGGAGAAAGACATAGAAAGAATAGATGCAGAAAGAAAAACAGACCTTAGCAGTAGAAGCCAGTAAGTAATGAAGTTAGGAAATCTGCAGGAAGAGAAATCTGGAGGCAGTTACTTCAAAGCAGAAGCTTGGAAGAAATATTTGGGAAGAGTGTCTAGTGTTAGACTTGAAAGTGAGTAGACTGCGTTGCTCTGATAGCTTTGGTGATTGCGTTACAAAGTACTGCTTACAGTCAGCAGATTGTTGGCTACAGAAAGCCTGGTCCATCTTAGGACCAAACATAGACTGAACAGGAAACAAGCAGTTGCTCAGAGAGGACATGTGGCTGGGTTTGAGGTTTGGTTTTTTTTGCGTCAGATTTGACTTGTGTGAGCAGTGCTCTGAATTAAAAGTTCTTGTGTTGGTAGGTACCTCCAGAGATGGCTAGGTTAGTGAAAAAGGCTGCCATGCTTTCTGTGGCTTCAGTGTGCTGGAGTTGTCCCAGTCACTTCTGTGTGTTGAAAAAACAGAAGAGGACAGCGAGAAGTTAAGGAAGATTTTAAGGGACGGATAACCACTTGTAGTGAAGTAAAGCTCATGAGATTAGACACTGAATAGTGAAGGAAAATGGCTCGCTAAGAAATAAACCCCCAGGCTGGCAACAAGCTTTCACTTATAGCTGGAGTATTTTGGACTGGCGAGGGAAGTAAGAAAGAGAAAGTCACTGCTCCATAGACGCATCATCTGCTGCATAAAGTGTCTCTTTCTGAAGATGCTGCAGAAGCAATGACAGGTTATGCTGAGTGAATTTACCCTCGCATCTTGCATCTCTGTTGTCTTCTGAAGTGTTGCTGCCTCAACAGGTAGCTTTAAAATATATTAATTTTGAGGCGTTCTCCAAGAGAAAGAAATTGTCAGACAATTTTTTTAGAACAAGATTAGAATTTCTAGTCAGGAAAGGGCACTGTCAGATGAATTTGTTACATCCTTGAAAGAGAACATACTGTCCTGAGTTTACAAAGCCTCTCAGAAGCACTATTGACTCAGAGAAACCTACAGTGTCATTTCTGTTTATGTGCAACAGGACACTTGAAGTGCTACTAAATACTGAGTCTGAACTAAGTAATAGCCAGGTGAGACTAAAGGAGTAGACTATATTCATTTATGCACAATAGAATAAATACATGCTTATGTAGCTTGAACTCTTAATTCTTTATAGACTAACTACAGTAATCTTCATATTATTAATCCTGAACTCTGTAACTTCATGCACCCAAGCAGTGCCAAGCAAGCTTAGCAGAGAATGATTACTCAAAATACACTCTCGAGGTCTGCTTTGAATGTGTTGAATGTGTTAAATTTTTTAATTTTTATTCCGTTTGATTTATGTCTCTGTGTTTCTATTTGTTTTTCAACTATGGTTAGTATTCTGGGTTGGTGAATGCGAAGGAAAAAAAGAGGGATACTCAAGATGCAGGACTTGTAGCATAAAGACAGATTTTTGCAATGAGTCCTTGAGTTTAGTTATAAATATTCTTCCTTATCTATTGAACCTGGATTTTCCTGTCACAGGAACTGTTCTTAGAATCATTTTTGACCAGTGCAATACTAGGGAGAAGGAAGTGGGGAGAGAAACAGTTTGCGTGCTTTGATTTTGGTCTGGTGAAGTTGTTTTGCTCTTTGTAACGTCACAGTGAATGCAATGCAAACATGAGAATGAGCAGTCAGTGCTGTGCCATGCTGTGTAGGGATAGTTGTGGTACCTGGGGAAGCTGAAAGCACCATAGCTGTGTTAGTAAAGCATTCCACTTACCCAGTTACATAGGTCAAGAAAGAGGGTGCTTCAGCAAGGATGGAGAAATATGCCAACCTCTCCAATTCTCTTCCAAACTTAGGTTCCCTTCCACAGCATTGTGATGTGCTCTTTGGGCTGCTCAGTGGCTCCTACTCAGCTTATTTTAACAAGAATACATATAATTTTCTTGCGATTCAAACCTGTATTTGCATGCAATGAATAGAACTTGCCAGTGTAGTGTGGCAGTGATGCTGTTGTAGCCTCACGCACAGGATGAGCTTTGACGAAACATAAATGCTTAAAGTCTTTGGTGGTGCTCAGAGCTCAAAGGCTCAGACGGAGTCATTATGACCCTGATTGTCTTTTAGTGTGTAACCACACGCAGTATTGGACAGGCACCTTTCACTTTATATTGCTTTGGTTTTTTTAACTGTTGTACTCTCAGACAGCAGGAATGCCTGAGACTTTTTCATCGCTGTGTAAACTTAGTTTCCATAGCTGTGTTAGCTGAGAATGGTGCCCTGAAGGACTTTACTCAGAAGTGTTTAAATTTGTCTGAATTATGTCTAAATTTAGATATTGTTCAAGGCTGTTCTGTTGCTCTTTCCAATTACTGGTGTGTAACCTTCTTGTTAATTTGAAGAGTTGCTCTGGCAAAGATGTTTTCCCCATGAATTTGCACAACTCTAAGTAGAGACAGCCTTACTAAACTGCTCTGAAAAATACCTGTTCTGTTCTCTGGGTTTTTTTAATGGTAATATGTTATCTGCTTTTTAACTTTCTTCTTTATTCTTTTATTTGCAGTGATGTGGTTGCATGACCTGCAGCATTATTAAAACAGGGACTGTTCAGTGCATGACTTGCTTTTCTGTCCAGACTGCATAACCAAAACTTAACCAGTTCTACACTTAAGACTCATGGCCATCTGATTTCAAAGGGACATCTACTTGCAGAGAAGCTTGCCATCCTGGGGAGTGGCTTTCCCATTTCCCGCTTCCATTTACTCTTTCTCTTCACAAAAAGTCTCCTATGAGGCTAGAAGAGAGGAAATCCAGTATTCAGAACTCGACAGGAGGCGTTCTGCAAACTGACAGAGCACTGTCAGCTCTCCATTTTACTTCTGCCTGTCCACTTTATTTAATTCTGATTAACAGTATTAACACACAGACTTCCTGCAACATTTTCATATACTGAACTATAAAAATCTAGTCTTAATGAGTTCCTAAAAACACCTTTGGGTTATTGTTAAAATTTCAAAGCACCTGCACCCTTAAAGGATCCACTTTGAATCTTTAAATAATTAAAGCGAAGGAGGTGTTTTACCAGGAGAAATGACTAATGAATTGCTGCTTGGCCATCCCATCTTCCTTAGAAAACCAGGCAAGGTTCGTCTGATAATCTCCGAGCCAGGCAAACTACCGGGTGGTATTTTGTTCACAGACACTGCCTGCTTCCTTACTATGTATATACACAGTAGTTTGTGGCTGTTGTATTTTTCTCTCTACATTTTAGCTGTGTTGTCCGTTTCTTTCAGAAACTTTTTTTTCAATCTGTGTACAATTGTTAAAACAATCTGAGGAAAGAACGTGAATGGAGATAAGTTGGAAAGCCGTCTACACTTTCAGTATTATGCAGACTGTCCTTGCCAGTTTATAGTTTGGGTCGTTTATCTTTTACCTGTACTATTTTTTTCTTTTTTTTCTCCTTATCGCAGTCTTAGCTATTTAATTTCCAATTGCACTAGCTTGGCTGTTCCTTTGTATTATGAAGTTTAGCTATAAGATTTGCCATATGTAGACAGTGTAACTCAAAATGCTTTGTACTGCCTATATTAATTTAAAAAGCTGCTTATTTAATATTCTTAAATATCTGCACATTTGTACTACTGTATCTTTGTTTTGTATTGGACATCCAGTACTGGCAAGATTCAGAAGGCGAGGGAGTGCTGTAGCGTTGTAAGTTAAGAGGTTTATTGTATAGGAGTTAGTATGTAACACATGGGGAAGGGGGCTTTTAAGCCATAGGACTTGCCGGAAAATCTGAAGAGTCTGAATGATGAGTACCGTAAGTGGTTTGGTTTAAGTCCAGTTCTAGAGAAAGCCCATTCTTGCTCACTTGGATCTTAATCCTGCAAAAATACAGACACGTATGTACTCTGCTTACTCCAAGAATGGTCTTGCTTATTCAGGCAGTGGCATAACCACCAGCCCTGTTTTCCATGTGAGCACCCCTATGCTGGAGAAATAATGTGTCCACTAGTCTCTGCAGTCACTTCTGGTCACAAAACACAGTGCGTGTCTCATCCCTGGCCCGTCAAGCGGGGCTCTGGGCAGAGCTGCACCTCGTGCGCCGAGACACCTGCACGTGTTCAGTCCTCAGGGAGTCTGATACCCGCTGTGTCGGTAGTGTTGTGCAGAATGACTTGGAGAAAAGACGGATCATGTCCCCACCTCTGTTTCCACAGGGGGTCCGTGCCACCCGGCAAAGGGAAGGGCAGGTGGGAATGGGCTCCAAGCAGGCCGTGCAGGAGAGGGAACGATAAGCATTAAGATCCCCGTGAGAAGTGTGTGGCGTGTTCCCTTCTGGATACCGTACCAGACGGGCGAGCCTGTGGCTGCCAGGTGCTCTGGCTGACAGCAGTCCGGAAAGACTCCCCGAGGGGGATATGTCCTTCCTGGTCCAGCAGGACCTGGGACAGTGAAGTCTGACGTGACCTGCGGGCAGGACCTGGGGTTCGGTGGTGGCAAGTCGGGTATCCTGCAGCGGAGGCAGCAGCACTTTCATCAGACTGAGTCCAGCAGAGAGCTAAAGGATTTGTGTCTTTCCAGGCCCTAGCCATTGATCCCTTGTTACGTGTCAGGGCAAGCGTTACTAGAAAAACTTCTTTTTGTTGGGTGTTAAAGGCATGGTTTGTTTCTCATTTGCAAGTGCTGCTCCGGCTGGGACCACACCCTGCCCCAAGCCAGGCTGGGTGCAGGATCCCTGAAATCAGGGGCTCTGTGCAGGGCGGGAGGGGATGGCTGTGTTTTTGTGCACCTGCCTGCACAGGTGTCCCGAGGTGAAGCCGAGCAGTACCTCATTTCTCCAAGTGGTCTGTGCAAATTGGAGACTAAGTATCAGTTGTTCTTGAACCTGAAGACATTTGTATGTAAGTGTGTTTAGCTTGACAAAAAGTGTTTGAGTTCACTAATGCAACAGAGCGATGCCAGGTGGAGCCAGTAACTTTCAGCAAGTGAGCTGGCTACTTTAATTAGATTAGCCTAGCATCTCTGTCATGAAGTGATTGTGAGCTCACAACTCAGAGGTGATCTCCAGCATGTCTCTGACATACTAACTTCATTTGTGCTGCATAGAAAACTCTCTTACTTTCTTAGTAGCAGCTTGTTTGACAGTCCTGAATTAAGTGTTGACCAATTATCAAAGTAGCTGTTTGTGAAGTTGCCAGTGATATATTTTCTATAAAAGAATGGATTCCTAGAGTGTCAAAACATTAATTTCCCATTTCAGTTCATCTACAAATTGTGTAACTACCAGATTGTCATGGTAGCAGTATTAATATACATATCTGTATATAGACAAAAAAATAGTAATGATCATTGGAATCAAAAGGTTTAGTATTTTTTCCCACTCAAATACACTAATGCTTCCATGGTAACAGAAGAGTGTACAGTTGTTAAACAAGTTGTAAATAAACGCTTATATAAAATGTAAATGCTTGTTTTTCCTTTATTTGGGGCTTGGTTATAAACTGAGGCCAATGCACGGTTCATGTTGAAGTTACTGGTTTGAGCCTGAAGCGCTGTTCTGCTGTACGAGATGGTGGTAGCTGGTGGGGGCTGTTGCAGCCAGCTGGTGATTAACAGGGACCTCAGTGGAGTGGGAATAACATGGGTAATACAAACCTTGCTTTTCAATGCACTTGAATCAGTCACTACAGAGCAGCGGGGGAAAAACTGGACTTTTTACAAAGCACAGCTAGACCTGGGCTGCTTTGGTGTCGGCTGGTCTGTCTGATTCTTAGATACACAAATGGCATCTTGGAAACGCATTTCCTGGGGCTGTGCAAAGGAGGGTGAACGGCAGGTAGGCAGCAGGAGGAGTACACCAGAAATCACAAACCTCCTGACTGTTGCTGGAAAGCATCCGATCTGGCTGCCCCATCACAGCAAGAATTGCCTGACACGGGGCACCTCTCAAAGGGCCAAGGCTAAACGGCCGAAGTAATACAAGTTTCTCTTACTGGTGGAAGTTCAGCTACAGAGGTAGCTAGAGGTGGTGGCGGTGGTGGGAAACCACTGCTAATATGGACAGAAACAATTGTCCTTCCTTCCTGTATTGATAAGCAGCTTTGCCATCTGGGGTGGGAGGAGGAGGTGGTGTCAGACACGGGTAAAAGTTGTGACAGCAACAGCCAGCAAGGGGTACTGAGCCCACGAGTGTCATGCGTGGTGCTGGGGCTGAGAAGGATGCGCAAAGTCCCTGCCGCAGCCTTTCAGGGGCTGCCGAAGCCAGCGGGGTACTGAGCCCACGAGTGTCATGCGTGGTGCTGGGGCTGAGAAGGATGCGCAAAGTCCCTGCCGCAGCCTTTCAGGGGCTGCTCTGTAAAAGGAACAGGAGAGCGAACAAGGGAGGATCTCCTGCCTGCATCCCCCGGTGCCCGCCCGCCGCAGCTGGGCACTGCCGTGGGCTGCTGCATCGCTGCGGCGGTGGTTTGCTGGCTGGGGAGGGCAGGAGAGCCCCAGAAGTGGTGGCCAGCTCTCTCCCGGGCCACAGACATGGAGTGTCTGTGGACACAGGGTGGAGGCATGGAGCTGCCAGAGCCTCACCTCCAGCTGATAGTGATTCACGCTGGTCCTCTGCCCCCCCTCAGTCCCACCCCAGTCACTCCTCCTCACCTTGGTCATTACTGCTGAGTCTCCTGCCTCCGACCATCATCCCCTCTGCTGTCCTGTTGTTTCCCCCGCTGCCAACCCCTCCTTCCTTCTGCTGTACTTTTTTCCCTTCCCAGCCCCCCCTCATCCCAGTGTGCTGAGACCAACATTAGCATCCCTTGTTCCTGCCTCCCCCATCCCTTCCCTGTCCCTCATACTCCTCCACATCAACTCCTGCAAGGCCACAGTCACCTCCCTACACCATTTACCCCCTTGCTTATGCCCCACAGGGTGTTGGGGGGGGGGAACTGTGGCCCACCCCACCCCACCCCTCACCCTGCTGGCCCAACAGTGAGGATGCAGCACTGCAGGTTGTCATCCACTGGAACCTCTCCTACACACCCCACAGCTTTTACCACTGTATCCTAAGTGTGTTTATCCTTGTCTTTTATTAGATGTTCTTGCAGAGGCAACAGCCACTGCTGTGTTAAAAGGACATGTGGGGGAAGCACAAGCTAGAAGCTGCACAGTTGCCCTTTGCCATTTTTCTGCCCACAAATAACTTTGAGCACTATGCTGTGCACATAAATACCTGCAAATAAATCTTTGTGCACATTGGCCTGTCTTGAGATCCTTTGTGCAACAAAGCAGAGCCCAGCACATTCGTATCCACTGTGCTCTGCAAGCAGGAGCCAGCAGCGCACGTGCAGGGAGGCTGTACAAGGCCGGCTGCAAGGACTGCGGGACGACGACGGAGGGTAGTGTCACTCTGCCCTTCAGCACAGGACACAGCATACCAGAGGGGAGTTTCCACCAGTGCTAGGCACATGGACTTAGTTCCTTTTCCTTAGAAGCTAAAAGAATAAAATGGCCTCACAACAGCAAGGTGTCCCATTTATTTGGCAGAGCAGGTAGATCCAGAAGTGAAGGTCAGGTATGTCAGAGAAGAGGAAAGGAAGATACAAGTGATGTAACTGGAAAAGTCTTCACATACCAAATGCATCCACTGCTGCCCTGTTTCAGGTCTTCCGAGAGCCCCAAAGGCAGCGGGTATCTCTGCCTCTTGGGACTTCTAGCTGGTAACAGAGAATTGCCTTTACTCCTTCCCAACAGACAAGCATCTCAAAACTGCAAAACATGCACACGTCTAGATGTTTGGTTTCTGGGCCAAGCTACGCTTCCACAAGCTGCCTGGGAGCATAACTCCACACCGAGAAGGAAGGTCTTACAAGCCCTTCCTGAGACAAGGGCAGATGAGGGGGGGGGGGGGGGGGGGGGGGGGGGGGGGGGGGGGGGGGGGGGGGGGGGGGGGGGGGGGGGGGGGGGGGGGGGGGGGGGGGGGGGGGGGGGGGGGGGGGGGGGGGGGGGGGGGGGGGGGGGGGGGGGGGGGGGGGGGGGGGGGGGGGGGGGGGGGGGGGGGGGGGGGGGGGGGGGGGGGGGGGGGGGGGGGGGGGGGGGGGGGGGGAGAGAAAAACAAGCTCCAAAATGCAACCAACCCCACCCCCTAAACATGACAGGGAACTGATGAAAGCAGTCGTAACAACTGCAAGTAGAACTCGGGGTGGATGGTAAAATGCATTTTCATTGTTTATCACACCACCTTGTGTAAGTGTCTTTGGCATTTAAAATATAACAGACCCCTGATTAAAGCAGATCACAAGTCACAAACAGATCATAGTGCAATTCCAAGTTAAGTTTAGCACGGTCAGTCTGGTGGGACTTGTTCCCCAACACCTTCGAACAAGTCTGCATATCCCTTCAACTGCTATAAAATATTGGCAACACATATATGCCCTTCTGCCCGCCCCCTCCCCCAAAAAGGCTCTTTGGCAGCCCTTACTGGCTCAAGACCGACACCAGAATGAAAGCTGGCAGGCTCTCCGCTGACAGCGCACTAAAAGACAACGCAGCCCCTGTTGCATTATCAGCGATACGGGGGATGCCACATGCCAGAGCAGCGCGCAGGCACAACACCCGGCCGATCACATGCACCTCGCAGGCAGCTTGGGACCTGCACGTCAAGGGAGCCTATATTCAGCATCAAAACCTCTGCGAGGGCTCCCACCAGCCGCACCGAGGATTTACAAACACACACTGGTGTCCGATAGAGGTTTCACTGCACTCCAAGAATTTTGCAAGTGCCAAGTACTAAGCATCCCTTTTCTGAAATGGTCGTGTTTGTGTTGGCTGTTGGGATGGGGTTCGGGGGTTTTGGGGGTTTGTTTTTTGTCCCCTCACAGGGAAAAGGCAATAACCCCCTACGGAATTCTCCTGCAAAGTTCCTGAAGGCCACTTTCATCGTAGCCCAGAGCACCTCGAAAATAAACACAAGTGTTTTGGAAATAGCCCCAAAAATACTATCCTGACAAAGCTTACTCTGTGAAGTAAAAACACTGCCCTGCAAATAGGAATTGACAGACTACTAGAATAAACACCTTCCTAGTAGCCATTTCATATTATTTCTAAATCTAAATTTGGGGGTTTTTTTACATTTGTAAGAGTTAACACAATGCCCAAGAAAACCTTTAAATCTAAGTCAGCATATATTCAGTCTCTAAATAAACATGGATAATACTGGTTTGCATCCCCTTCAAAGCAAGTGGAGCAGAGTCTGGAAGTCACACAATGCAAGCGTCCTCTGGAGACCAGCCACACACCGATTCCAAGTAACAACACACTGCGAAGAGCCTGTTTTACATGCATCTTGTTCTATGGAAACTTGAATTCACCTACCTGTGAAGAGTTTAGGGTTACATACTTCATCACCTGCCAAAGCACGTGGTTTTAAAACATGTTTATGTAAACCACCCAGGATTTCTACATGAACTGATTTTGTATACAGCTGCAGAAACTTCTGGAACAAAACTGTCTGGATAATACATCAAAACCAAAGAAAAATCAACTGAACAACAGTCTTGAAAATGCTTTATTGAACCGTGTGTCTTATTGTAATGTGCAGAAGATGTGTTTGAAAAGACTACAGCTTGAAAAATTTTTGAAAATCCTCAACAATCAATAAAAAAAGTCCCTACGGGGGGTAACTCTCAGGATAACCAAAGGCCTCATGTAAAGTTTCCCTTGAAACATTTTCTGTTGCAGAGACTAAAAGAAAACGACGCTAGTACTGCTCTATGTGGAAACAATCAGGATTTGAGGATTTAAAACAAAAAAAAAAAAAAAAAAGGAGTGGAACTTAAACTTCAGTCTATGGGGTTGCTTCTTTTGCTGCTGTTATTTTGGATTAGCATACACATCACAGTTCTGCTGAGAACACCATCTGTTGTCCAAGTCTGTAAATTTACTCTAAAATGCTAGCAATGCTGCAGAGATGGAAGGATACAGAGAAAGAGAGAGGGGGGTGAGGTGAGAAAGATCTGGAAAGACACCATTATGATATAAGCCTAGTTTAAATTTTCATCAGAAGCTGTGTGCACTTTTGTTTTTATAATCTAACTTTACATTCAAAAAACCCACCAAAAAATAAAAAAAAAAGGGGGGGGGGCGGACACACCAAAACTGAACACACCCCTTCTGTCCTTGTCCTGGGGCTGTTATAAACTTCTATGCACAAGAACACCATACTCTTTTTTTCCAAACCAGTAGGGTTAACAGTATAGGCATGTAGGTGGCACGATTCAACTAAAAAGCTTTTTCAACTTTTTTATACCAGCAAAAATAACCAAAAGAAACAATAAATAAAAGGTGCTAAAGTTAGCATTAAGAATTAAATTGTAATTTACTGACAATCTGGGAATCCAAATCCTCAAGCTCTCCTGATACCGACAGGTCTCTGCAAACTATGAAGCAAATACATAAATAACTCAAAATATGATTGAGACTGTGAAAGGCTTTTTAAACCAAGACAACATGATCCAGGTTAACTTTTTTTTTAAACACAGTGAATATATGAATTGTCTACACCTGAATAAAACATATTTAACAATTAAAAAATTTTAACAACCACAAAAAAGGAAAAACTTTAAACAAAAGTGAACATCATTTGATTTTAGGGCACACAAAAGCCCCTTGCAGTAGCTTCCAGCAGTGGCCTTACTGTTGTGTCTCCTACAGATGCATAAAATGAAGTTCAACTCCACATCGAGGCGATGGCTAACAGGGCAACATAATGGTCACATACAGCAAACTGCCACACCCTGGTCACGACAATATATCCCACTGCAGAGTTTCCATCCTGTGCGGGAACAGCACATAAAGATGTCATTCTGTCACATATTATTCAAAAGCTACTTTGTGGCCACAAACTGCTAGTCAGCACTAACCTTTTTGTCACGTAACCTTTGAATAATGGGAAAGCTTTGGGTTTTATAGTTTTACTCCTTGTATTTAAATTTTAAATGACAAGGTCACTAAAACTCATGCACGCTGCAAAAAACGTCATGCAGTAGTTAAGGTAAACCATCCAAGCAGTTTTTATTCATTAATATTCATAAATACACACAGCAGCTTCATTAGAGATTTTTCATTTTTTTCCTCTTCAGTTTGAATGTGGAGTATTAGGAGAGCCTTTTGCATGTCAAGGTACAGGACACAGAGCTTTTTGCTCCGCACTGCAACCTACATTTACCTGCTAGAAGTAAAAATTAGTTAAGTGGAAATGATTATCATATATATCTTTTCTCTCTTTCTTTTGAATGTACACAATGTAACAAGAGTGACAGACCTGAAATTACAATCACCAAAACAAACCCAAGATAGTTGTTGTCCACTTTCATTGGCAAATACAGCACAGAGGACATTGTCTGCAAAGTGGGATGTCATCAAAGAGGAGGTGGAGGAGGCTCGTTTCCTTTATTACTCTCTTTTAAATTTAGGTTTTCTAAAGCAACATCTAGAGGCATAATATCTACACAGCCCATAGCACCAAAATCTGCAATCTCCCCCCGCTCATCCTCATCTGAGGAGGAACTTTCTTCCCGCATCAAGGTGGACAGTAGAAGCTCCTGAACAAACAGGCTGCAGTCTGCCCGTTCGCTTTCCATTGACTGACGCTCTGCTTCCGACATCTTCGGATCATTCAACCTGTACAGCAGCAAGGGAAGAGAAGAGAGGCAGTTGGTGAAAACCCACTTCACCAATGACACTACTGACAGGTGCTGAAAGGCACTCCTTCAGGATAGTCCTGCTTGCCTTTTGACACGTCCAGCTCTGGCAACCTGCGACACCTCAGTACAACAGGCGTGCATTTAACAAACCACCCTTTCCCTGTTGCTACAACAGCATTCAAAGCGGAGGCTAAAGCTAGAGGAAAACAAAAAACTATTTGTGAGATTTCCTGCTATTCAGGAGTCTTTTAGGGAGGGCCGTTGTGATTTCCTAGACACTCGTTACGTGCCTGTTTTGTTTCTAGGTCAACTTCTAAGTTCACACATACCACAAAACGCATTACTGCACGTGTGAAGCCTAGGGATTCCCAAAGCACGATAGGACGTTGATTCTACCACTTCCCCGAGCTTACAGTGCATGCCCCGATAGGCAAGGAAATTGCTCACTCCAACTCTGAAAGTCGCAATCTGTGACACTTGCAGGTACTTTGATTAAGTTTCTCAAATAATAATGGGTTTCTGATTGAAACACCAGAAAGATCGAAAGATTTTGCACTTAGATAAAAATCAGATTGACTCAAATCCAGGTTTCTCGACACAGGAGCTGTTAAAATGCCCACACTCTTTCACAAAACCAAACAGAAAAACAAGAGTATGCATGGGGGGCATGGTGGGGGAGATGTGGAAAACATTTTTATTTCAGGTCAACAGCCAACCTTCTAGAAGAACTGGAATGACTTAGTGGGTGACTCCTCTTTAAAATAACCCTGGGATCTAAGTACAATTTCTAAACCAGATAAGTATTCTGCTAATTAATGGCATCCTTTAGAGACTGGATAACAAAGCAAATAAAGCAATTAATATATAAACCCCTATTCAACCTTCAGCTTTTACTAAAGATTAATTTCTTTAATAAACAATACTATCTTCTGACTCTCTCCCTCTCCATTACGGCTCAAGTCTATATGCTTGTATCACTGGAAATGCACTTGTTTTGTTGGAAGTAGTAGGGGAAACAAGCACAACTTAGTCAAGAAATATTCCCTTTTGTTCCTCTTGAAGTTGAGATGCAGCAACTAATGTTTACCCATTGCTTAGGAGCAGACAGACAGTAGGTTTGAAAAGATGTTACAAATGCAAACAAAAGCGCAGTATGTTGGCTACAGACTTGATGAAGGGTCTGGCAGAAGTCCCCTGCCTGGAGTCTGAGGAACTTAACTCAGCCAAAACTCAAAACCAGCCCCCTTTTCAGGGTTTGCAGAAATCCATACTCTAGTCTAATCCTTTAAACACGTTCCTAGGTGCGTGAAAAAAAAGTAGAGTGCACTTGTGAGATTGCCTCCCCTTTTTGCAAACACTAGACCACCACAGGATATTCCTGCAGCCAGCTCCTGGAGTTGGCTTTCCAAAAGCCAAGTAATTCCCTTTGGGCCAGCTATAAACTGCTACTCTTTGATATTAAATTACCAGTTTTACTTTCATGCTAGAAATGTGGATGAAGCAAGTTTTACGTATTACACATTCTGTGACCACTGTTGAAGTCTACCGTGAATATATTCTGTATAATTAATTAGCCTGTTAACTCTGGGATATATTTGATCAGACACCGCTTTACTCCAAACACTTAAGTTTCACTGAGCTCTATGTCTCCATCAGGACTAAGGCAAACAGAAATGGTAAAAGGTAAATACAAGTAAATACACAGAACAAGTTACCTTGTGAGAAGAAACTGGGAATTCTGGATAGTCTGCTGACTGTTTTCTGTGTTAGATGTGTTGGTTGTTGTTGTAGATTGTGTCATAGTGGTGTTGACATTGATCGTGTTGGTGCGTCTAGTTGCATTGCGTGCAGTCTCCAGTTGTTGTCTTGCTGCCTGTGCATGTTGTCGTTCCAACTGCAGTTGCATCTGCAGCTGCTGTAACTGAGAAGCAGAAGGGCCAGAGGAGTTGAGCTGTCCTCCTGCAGAACGCCTCACGCCTGATAGCTGAGATAAAAGCTCTGCCAGAGAAGAGAAAGTTTCTATGATGAAAGATCTTAAATGAGCATTACACAATAGAATGAATACGCGCTGAATTCCAGTGCATCAATTCCTTTTTTCAATCAATAAAAATCAAAGAACAATGGTGAAGAGCCCAGGAAGCTCCTGAAAAAAGTCCTAGCATTCAATGTCTCAGAGGGTAAAGAAGATTAAGACTCATTTATGCAGATTTATTCCAAATAAGAAGTCAAAGTTTAATGCCTTCAAAATAACAGGAGAGCCAATCTACAAGTAATGCTTGGCAAATGATGTCCTCTGCAGCAATTCTCTGAAACTTCAAGTCAAAATTGCAATTGGCTGAGACACTACTTCATTTTGGCTTTGGCTGGTGAATATTATCATCCTCTCAACAAATGTTCCCTCAAAACGCAGGCTTCACCTTCCCAATATCCCAGAGGGAAGCTGTGCTGTAGCAAAGCGGGAAATAGTGTACTGTTGCTTCAAACATTTAAGAAAAAAAAATATTTAATTAAGAAAACATATTAAAGTATTGCCTCACATCAAAACTTAAGTGGTCAAGCATTTTTGCTGTATGAATTTTTATTTCTGCCATAAGTACAGAGAAGGCCTAGCAACTAAAAAAAACCTCTGTTCTTAATTATTCCAATTCAAAGGGATGGAATGCTTACAGCAAGTTTCATCCATGAAGAATTTTTTGAAATAAATATTAGCAGCAAATTACTGCTCAGCGCATTACTACAGAATCTCTTCTACACCTTGTGTAGAAGGTACTTCTTACATCACCTGCTTGCTGTAGTTGATGCAAGGGCAGAGGAAGTAGAGGACAACACTGCTGCTGCCCCTCACCCTCTACATCACAAAGTTACTATATAGGTCATGACAATTTTCCTTCCATTGCATTAACAAAATATAATCCTTCTAAATAAGGCTTTCTTTGAGCGAATGAAGCAAATCGCAGTTGTTTTCCATGTCAGGAACTCAGGATGATCAAGCCATTTTTACCAGCACTGACAGCAATACCAAGATTAAGTAACTTCTAATTCCATTGTAATTACTAGAAAACACCACGGGGGGGGGGGGGGAGGAAAAAATGTAATATGCTATAAACTTCATTTATTTTAAACAGAAAAATTCTGGTGGTCTTTCCTATTTATTACTCCAGTAAAAGGGAAGACATATCAAACTTCCAGACAAGATTTAGATGTACTTATTCTCACTGTAAGTTAAAGCATAACTTAAAGCTTGGAGTATAGAGAAACCATATTTTGGAAGCAGATGTGAGCTCAAGACACAGTCTTGGTATAAGAAGGACACCCAGCTCAGTGTGCAACTGAACTCTTAAATGAGCTTCCACCAAAAAAGAAAAGATTCAGTATGCCATTTTATCCCAGATTTAATGCTGTTAAGCGGGAAGGTCTTGTGAGGCTGAAAACAAACCCCAGCAGCTACTCCACATTTAACTGAGCTGAAACAGCTGCCCTTGTAAGAGAAAGACGAGGTCTTGCACTGCAGGCTTCACAAACACCCTCCCTCCTTGAACAAACTCTAGTCCTTTTCAGACCCTCCTGTGACCTCACTTAATTTATTTTCTTCTCTTATCATAGAATCATAGAATAGTTTGGGTTGGAAGGGACCTTTAAAGGCCATCTAGTCCAACCCCCCTGCAGTGAGCAGGGACACCTTCAACTAGATCAGGTTGCTCAGAGCCCCGTCCAACCTGACCTTGAATGTTTCCAGGGATGGGGCATCCACCACCTCTCTGGGCAACCTGTGCCAGTGTTTCACCACCCTTAGCGTAAAAAATTTCTTCCTTATATCTAGTCTAAATCTACCCCTCTTTAGTTTAAAGCCATTCCCCCTTGCCCTGTCACAACAGGCCCTGCTAAAAAGTCTGTCCCCATCTTCTTTATAAGCCCCCTTTAAGTACTGATAGGCTGCAATAAGGTCTCCCCGAAGCCTTCTCTTCTCTAGGCTGAACAACCCCAACTCTCTCAGCCTTTCTTGATGGGATACTTCTTACCAGCTAATTTAATGAGTTAAATCAGGTCACAGTGGGCCAGCAGAGCACCAGAGCCAGCAGAAGGCAGGCAAGGGGACCATGATGAAGGAAGGCAGTGGAGCCACAGCTTCCCTTTCAGGGGCAATGCCTCATTAAGCTGGCTGGCTGGCTGGCTACCTCCCTCTGATCGAGTCACAACACGATAGTAGGAAGCTCCAGTTTAAGCATTATGCCTTCCCGGCATCTGAAGCAAAGGTGGATTATGGCTGAAGTTCTGAGATTTCCCTGACACTTATTCTGGCATGGTCAAAGACCACTGCATAAAAAAGTTTAGATTTCCCCTTAGGGAAAGTTATATTTCTTTTCAGAATAGTCTCCATTCTCTGTTTTTTCTTTCCTGTAAAAAGAAGTTATTTTTACATCAAAGCTAAACATATGCCAAAAAAGTTATTCCTGGGAATCCTAAAGACACATCTTTATTATTTTCTGATGTTGTAAATGAGACATCCTTCCCCCCCTCACAGTTTTTCTAAACTTGACCAAAATACACTGCACATACTTGCAACAGTACATTTATACAAGAACTTACATTTTAAAAAAGCCAACAACATGGTATTAGCAAGTCTAGCATTCAAACAGCAGCCTGAATGCAAACTGAAGATATTTTAAATGGCCATTAATATTCAAATTCAGCTAATTTCATCTTCATTGAGACAGATACTCTCCTCCATAAACACCTTTAGCCACATGGCAAATTAAAATGAGATGTACTAAAGTAGGTGATGGAAATCGGACACAATCACTTGTAAAAAATACACACCACCTGTGCATAGATTAGGTTTAGGAATAAGCCTTACACCATCCAGAATTAAAAGCACAAGCTACAGGCAGCAGTTTCAGCTTCAGCATCTCCATGCGTAGGCCCTGTGACAATCCAGTCAAGCACACTGCTCACCTGCAAGCAGCCATCAACCACACTTGCACTGTGGAGTGTACTCACACATGCAGCTTCATGACAACAGAAAGTAGGGCAACTATTACTATCTTGAATTTTACCTCCTCTGTTTAAGAGGGACACCAGAGTAAAATTCACAGGTACAGCTCTTACCAGCTATAGGATCCATGGCTTCTCTATTGCTTGGAGAATACGAACTCTGAGAAGATGAAAGCCCACCAGGGGAACTGGTAGTAAAGTGCATGTTTGATCTGCGTGCACGAGGGCCTCCCAAACCCCGGCCTGGGTGGAACATCCTACGTACATGCCGAACACCACTGGATTCATCGTAACCAAGAAGTTAAGAAAACAGAACTGTTTGGCATTGAGTATTAAATGACAAGAACATTTGATGGGTGAAACACTCAGATGGACACTGTTATTCATTCATAAAATAACAATTCAACGTCTGAAGCAAAGCTGAAGTACACTGTAGCTATGGTGCAAGTCAAACTTACCGATCTGAACTCAAGATACCCAGTGCTGTGTATACCAAACTCCCTGTACTTCTCCAGCTTTTTATGATGTCTAAGAAACATCAGGATTAATTTCTTGGGTTTTTTAGATCAAAGTTTTCTACTCAGTAATCTGAAAATTCTGACAAATGCATGTTCAGCCAAGCTCACTACAGAGACATAGGGATTTTATTCTCCCTCCCCAATTCTTATGTTAAGTATTGAAAATAATAAAGAAGTTTATTGCCATTCCTATCAAAAGTACATAATTACTGTATTCCTTCTGACTTTTGTACTTCATGCTTTTAACCAAGAAATTTCATCACTTCAGTCCTTAAATAATTGTAGGTTTCTGGAGTATTCAGCACTTTCACCACACCCCTTTGTTTCAACTTTCCTCTTTTAGCCAAAGAAATACTACTAATTCCAGTTATGACAATGATGCCTTTCATTTTCCCATTTTCCCTCACTTCTCCATATCAGATGCTTATATTTCAAGTCATACCTTTTATACATTTTCTCAAATAAGAGACAATCAACAAATTATTTAAAGATTATTTTTGTCAGAAAGTTGTTAACATTCACTCCTCCAAGACAGTCCAGATAAGGCTTCCTTTTATTTTAAAGATCACTAGTATAATTCACTAGTGCAAAATGAAATAGCATAGGCTTGAATATTTTATTTTCCTGTTACTAGACGTTTAGCTTAGATCCTCCTATCTCCCATGTTATTACAGTATGCTTATCACTCATATGGTATCCATTACTGCATAAGAGTAGTGTCCAATGTACTTTTCATAAACACAAGTTACAGTAAAGAACCTCAGAATGTCATGGAGGTCAAGAACTTAAGACTGAAAGAAATGACTAGACTTCTCATGGCAAGAAAGAACTTCTGGCTGTTACAAAAAGATTTTACAGAACGTTTGCCTCTTTTTAAAGATTATTTTGTCAGAAAGTTGTTAACATTCACTCCTCCAAGACAGTCCAGATAAGGCTTCCTTTTATTTTAAAGATCACTAGTATAATTCACTAGTGCAAAATGAAATAGCATAGGCTTGAATATTTTATTTTCCTGTTACTAGACGTTTAGCTTAGATCCTCCTATCTCCCATGTTATTACAGTATGCTTATCACTCATATGGTATCCATTACTGCATAAGAGTAGTGTCCAATGTACTTTTCATAAACACAAGTTACAGTAAAGAACCTCAGAATGTCATGGAGGTCAAGAACTTAAGACTGAAAGAAATGACTAGACTTCTCATGGCAAGAAAGAACTTCTGGCTGTTACAAAAAGATTTTACAGAACGTTTGCCTCTTTCAAACCTATTAGTTATGCTACATCTTAACATCTAGGGTGGAAGAGGAAGATCTCCCCTGGCACAGAACACACTTTGCCTAGCACCTCTCAGTGTGATAAAACTGGATGCTGCTGGAGACAAGATACTGTATTAGATGGACTACTGCCCCCAAGCAGTTTGGCAAGCTTTTCATAACTAGATCTGGTAGAAAAGGCCAGTTTTTGGGGATTTTTGGGATGACTGACATTGAAGCCTTACTCTGTATTTGAAAAGATTATTTTTCTAGTTCAAACGTTCCTAAATTAAAAGTAATCTGGTGGCATCTCTGATACTGGAGGGGGAGAAAAAGCTGCAGAAGCATGAACTTGAATCAAACATCTTGTTCATTTCAGTAGGAAATTAATTTCATTCTGTAACTGGGAAAATTCAAACTTCGTGGCCTACAGAGCGGTTAAGCCAATGTCGGGGGCCCACAGTCTGACCTTTGGTACACTGCTATGTAGTTACTAGGGATGTAAATTTTTTTAGAAAAAGCATATTATGCAGGTGCTGTGAAAAACTAACAATTGGTAGGAAGAGCAGAACTAAACTGATACAAGAAAAATTGCTCAGTGACTCACTACACCAGTCATCAAGCAACATCTCAGAGCCATCCAAAGGCCAGGAAAGACCCAATGGTCAGGAAGATGCTCTCCCCTCAACCCACCTCCACCCGAAAGGGAGGATGGCACAACTCTGCCTTGGTGGACACCTGACCATGGAGGACCTCCCTGGATGCCTGGGGCTGAGCTCTCATGGCCAGAGCCACCGCACTCGGCATCCTGCTCCTCCCAACTGCTGAGAGCCCCGCTCCTGTCCACAAGGAAAGGTGAAGTAGAGATAACTGCTTTTATCTAACTTTGTAGTGTTCTTTGCATTATTAATTACTCCTTCACAGAGCCAATAAACACCCAAAATCCTTTACACTGATCCAATTATTGTGTAGTAATTAACACGTGCACTTAGTCTGTCCTGACCCTAAACCATGGTAACACTAACAAACTTAAATGCAATCATACACAATCATAACTGAAGTGGAGCCATCTCCTTAAATGCTGTCTCCCTTCTGTTAGCATAACGAACTCCAGTTGCTAGGGCTTGGAATTTTTTTTTCCTTTTAAAAAAATATTTTTTTTAAACAAAAAAGCTACTATCAAAGTAATAATGCAGTCTTTTTGTCTGTTTGTTTAAATGAGACACAAAGGTATACTTCAGAGAGATTACTTACTGTAGGTAGGCTACATAGCCTGCATGTCATTGAATAAAAAGCCCAAACCAAAATACATTTCATCAGTTAATTGGGAGCAGGGGGTGGGGTGTTAAAAAAGGAAAAATATTCCTAGAACAAGGATTAAAAAACCCAATAGTTCCAGCTCTTCAGCCATCATGCATAGATAAATCTTCATAACCTGCTGCTAAGGTAACTGAAATCCTATTTCCCAGGAAATCTGAAAGTTTTCCAAGTTATATTACAAAATGTCAGTAACACTATGAAATTATGTTATTAAAACATGGTGTTGAAATTAGTTAAGCAAGTTCAAAATCATTTGTCAAAACCAGCTAAGCTCAAGTCATCCTCAGATCATTACCTTCATGTCACAAATACTTACAGCATACTACTGAATCAGGATACATAAACCAGCACGAAGACTAATGATCAGGCAGGATAAACCACAGTGCAAGTAGAAAAATCTCTCAGTGTCAAAGTTCTTTAAATGTTTTTGTTGTTAGAGCAAAAAGCACTGTCAAGTATACCTACAGTTTGTTCACAATCTGGTATTTATACTTTTTTAAACTAGCAAACAAACCTTTTTATTTTTGACATACAGATCTTTAGCAACTTAGGTTTGAGGAAAACCAGAGGTATGACCCTTTGACTATAAAAATCAAAACAAGTCATCATGGCCACTATATGACACAGTCTAGCCTCTTTGCCTCAACTTGGAAAGGATATTAAATCTCTAGGAGCTCTGTGTTCCAGTGTAAGATGAGCTGCAAAGTCATCTGTGACATGATTCGGATCCCCTCCAGGTAATGCTGCACATATTGGACAAATCTGAAATGACAAAGTGAGGAAAAAAAACCAACTTTACAAATTTTACACAAAACACAACTCATATCATTGAGTCAATCATTAGACATTGATTTTTATGCTTTAAAATCACATTGTAGGTATTCACAAACACCTGGATAGCAACATATTCAAAAAACCCAGAAAGTGTATTCAAGTGCGGACATTAATTTAGACATCTCTTACTTTATGATTTTCAGAATGCTATGAAAACCAGAGCTGGAATTTTCAAATTCAATTTGCAATGTCTTGAAAATTAGTCTTTGTATGCCAATTCCGCCACCGACAGTAGAGTCTGATTACACACGATTACTATTTGCCTGCTTGACACTCATTCCAGGAGAGGAATCAGAATGAAACCACACGTAAGTATTTACTGAAGTATCAAACTGAGACCATCCAGGCAGTGCATAACTACAGGTTTGGCAGAGAAGGGCTGATCTCCATACCCCTACACAACAGTATTTTGGGAGAAGGCACTGATGTCTGTGTTTGGGGGGGGGGTTTGTTTTTTTTTTTTTTTAACCCAAAACACAAGTTAACTAAGTAGACAAACAATGTCATTACAATTGCCATAATTATGACTTGTTTTTTGAATGGCTCCACAAACAGCTTGAAAAGCATCTTCCATTTTTCTTTACAGTAGTTTTGCAGACTGATTTAAAGTTTTACAGATGGCAGATAAAAAAAAATCCATTCCACAAAATTGTTCCCCCAAATGTTAAGTGCTCAAATTAGACAGCACTTTGACAGTTAAAAGCAACTGCTGTCTACGAATTTATCTCTCTGTTCCTCACAGTCAAATAATCTTGTCTTTATGGAGCAACTCTGGCTGCAACATGAAGCCCAGGTTCCCAGTGCTCTTCATGCATATATGCAAGTTGTTGACAGTAGATCTCAAAAGACCGTGGACATTAAGAACACCTATATAATAACACACACATCTGTCTTACTCTTATGGAAGTGAGGACAACGTCTTGAATAAGTTTACTGTAAAATCTCAGCTGCTTTTGAGAGCAGCTGCTACATCTTTAATGCCACTTTAATTTTAGTAGTCAGCTCTGAGCAGAAAACCAGGCATTTTAGAAGCTTTTTGCTACAACCCCTTCCCTTTTGTTTTCAGTGTTCACCATTTCTCTTCACAGAACTACTCTTCCCAGATTTTTCACCACTACAGAAGCCATACAAGCAGACACACTACAGAGCAAAGACATCTCATTACAGCATAATATAATAAATACTCAACCATGCCAACATATCATACAGCTACCCTGTAGGGTCATAGGAATGGATGTATATCGGACTGATGGTTCTAAAGTCCATAAACTTGTTTATAAGCTGTTTAATCTTCAAGAATATGTTTCATACCAACAGGAGACAACACCTTCAAAGCAATCTTTTTTCATTTAAGGTATTCTGAGGAAGCAAAACCCCAACATGAGAAGAACAACACATTTTGAAAGCAGCAAAGCAAAAGAAAGTTCTTCTGCTAACAGGACAAAGGCGTTATAAACTGTGACTATTTGCCTGAAAAGAAGAGAGACAGTCCTCAGAAAAACATCAGCTAAATTATAAGGAACAATGAGAAGAAGGGAATCTAAGTATCCTAACCCTAAATCTAAACATGAACTAAACTTCCAAGAACTCTCTGACTGGGAAAAGTTACTGAAGCACTGTTACACAAACAAAAATTTAGTTAAGCATAAGCTCTGGCAAAATCACAACAAAGAGTGCAGCATCACTGATTAAGCGTGACACAGCTAAAAATCATTGTTAACAGAACATGCATGAACAAATGGTGCAGATGAAAGGAAAACATTGTTAGAAGTTTCTCCTGAAGTTACGGTCATTTGTATTAAAAACTCATCATGTAACCCTGAATGACATCTAGAAGATGACTGCAAAGTCCTAAGACAATCATGCTCACAGAATACCTGCCACTTTCCAGAAGTGTGCTTGTATTACCACTACCTCCCTATTTACATACAAGGTACCCACTTCAAGTGACAGTATTTCTGTAACCTCAACAAGAGACACTGTAATCTTCAAGAATGAAACAGGAACCATTCAGACTGCCTCAGATTGTCTACTTCATTACTGCATGAAAAGCTCTCCTCAATTTTATCAGCAATGTATCAACAACCTAGTCCTTACAGTTCATATACAAGGAGCCTAGTTACTGCCTTGCTAAACGCGAGAAAGTTGCTACAGTGCAACGTAATAGTAGAAAATTTGTGTCTCTGTTCTGAAATGAGATTCAAAAGATGACATTTGATGAAGTTTCACAAAATATTTGTATTTACAGTGCTAGCAGACTTCTAGTTGAATGCTGCATTTTATTTGGAACAGTCAACTGACCTGCAACCTAACACCAACAGTAACAGTGATCATACTAACAGCCATCTTCTGCACTCGCCTTATAACGCTTACCATTACCTTGGACATTTACTGGTGAGGAAATACTGGTAACTGAGGTTTTAGTACTCACCAAAATCATATCGTTTATTCTTTTTAGTGTGTAACCTTAGAGACTTAATCAATCACAAAACTTATGCCTACTCCCATAGACACCAGTATAATTTTCAATTAAAGTACCCAAAATTAAAACAATCACCTTCAAGGAAATGTCATCAAACTCTCCTCCTGGAGTTCCTCTCCAGGACCTCAACATGATGGGGTGCCTCTCCAAAGTGCCTGTATACTAATGCACACAGCATAGAGAATAACCATGATGAGTTAGAGATCTGCATGCAGTTGCAGGGCTATGATCTTCTTGGGATCAGAGAGACATGGTGGGATGGCTCCCATGACTGGAGTGTTGCAATGGAGGGATACAGGCTCTTCAGAAAGGAGAGGAAGGGGGCTCTTTAGAAGAGGAAGCGGGGCTTGCCCTTTATGTGAGAGAGCAGCTGAAGTGCATGAAGCTTTGCCTGGGGATGGAAGAAGAGCTGATGGAGAGCTTATGGGTTGGTATTAAAGAGAGGACAGGGAAAGGTTACATTATAGTGGGTGTCTACTATAGGCCACCTGACCAGGAATAACAAATGGATCAGGCCCTCTACAGACATATAGGAGCTGCCTCACACTTGCAGGCCCTGGTCGTCATGGGGTTCTTCAACCACCCCGAAATCTCCTGGAAGGACAACACAGCATGACAGCAATCCAGGATGTTCCTGGAGTGCACTGATGATAACTTCCTCCTCCAACTGACAGAGGAGCCAATGAGGAGAGGTGCTCTGCTGGACTTCATACTCACCAACAAGGAGGGGCTCATTCAGGATGTGAAGGTCAAAGGCAGCCTTGGCTGCAGTGACCTTGAGATGGTGGAGTTCAGGATCCTGAGGGCAGGGAGGAAGATGAAAAACAAGCTCACAACCCTGGACTTCAGAAGAGCAGACTTTGGCCTCTTCAAACATTTGCTTGGAGGAGTCCCATGGAATAAGGCCCTGGAGGGTAGAGGGGCCCCAAGAAGGCTTGTTAATTTTCAAGGATCATCCCCTCCAAGCTCAAGAGTGCCCCATCCCAATGAATACGAAGTCAGGCAAAAATGCCAGGAGGCCTGTGTGGATGAACAAGATGCTTCTGGCCAAACTCAAACACAAAAAGGAAGCATACATAGGTTACCCTCCTAGGGTAACCTTGGAGTAATACAGAAACATTATCCGAGCATCCCAGGACAAAGTAAGGAAAGCTAAAGCCCAAATGGAATTGAATCCGGTGAGCAATGTCAAAGACAACAAGAAGGGCTTCTAGAAGTACATAGGCAACAAAAAGACGACTAGGGAAAATGTGGGCCCATTGCTCAAAAGATGGGGCACCTGGTTACACAGGACACAGAAGAGGCTGAAGTACTGAATGCCTTCTTTGCCTCAGTCTTTACTAGCAAGACCGGCCTTCAGGAATTCCAGGCCCCAGAGACCAGGGGGAAAAGTCTGGAGCAAGGAAGACATTCCCCTGGTGGAAGAGGATTAGATTAGAGAATACTTAAGTGAACTGGACATAGTTAAGTCCATGGGCTGTGATGGGATGCACCCACAAATGCTGAGGGAGCTGGCAGATGCCATTGTGAGGCTGCTCTCAATCTTTGATCAATCATGGCGACTGGGAGAGGTGCCTGAGGACTGGAGTAAAGCAAATGTCACTCCTATCTTAAAGAATGGTAAGAAGGAGGACCTGGGGAACTACAGGCTGGTCAGCTCACCTCAATCCCTGGGAAGGTGATGGAGCAGCTAATCCTGGACACTATGTCCAGGCACATTAAGGACAAGAAAATCATCAAGAGTAGTCAGCCTGGCTTCACGGAGGAGAAGTCATGCTTGGCCAACTTGATAAACTTCTGTGATGAAGTGACTGGCCTGGTAGATGACTGCAGAGCAGTGGATATTGTCTACCTGGACTTCAGTATGGCCTTTGACACTGTCTCCCATAGGATCCTCACAGGCAAGCTGTTGATACACAGGCTGGATGAGCACGCAGTGAGGTGGAGTGAAAACTGGCTTAATGGCTGTGCTCAGAGGATGGTGATCAGTGGGAATTTTGCTGATGACACAAAACTGGCATATCAGCCACTCTTCCCAGAGAGCTGTGCTACCATTCAGGCTGGAGAGATGGGCCAACTGGAACCTCATGAAGTTCCAACAGGGGGAAGTGCAAAGTCCTGCACCTGGGGAGGAACAACCCCAGGCATCAGCATGCACTGGAGGCCACCCAGCTGGAAAGCAGCTTTGCAGAAAAGGACCTGGGGGTCAGGGTGGACCATGAGCCAGCAACATGCCCCTGCGGCAAAGAAAGCTAATGGTGTCCTGGCCTGCATTAGGAAGAACGTTGCCAGCAGGTCAAGGGTGGTGATCCTTTGCCTTTGTCCAGCACTGGTGAGGCCACACCTGGAGTACCGTGCCCAGTTCTGGGCTCTGCATACAAGAGACACATGCATATACTGGAAAGAGTCCAGCAAAGGTTTACAAAGATGATTATGGGACTGGAGCATCTCTCCTATGAGGAAAGACTGAGAAAGCTGTGACTGTTCAGCTTGGAGGGAGCAGGCTCGGGCAGGGATCTTACTAATGTACATGAATACCTGAAGGGAAGGTGAAAGGAGGACAGAGCCAGGTTCTTTTTAGTGGTGCACAGTAACAGGACCAGAGGCAGTGGGCACAAATTCAAACACAGGAGGTTCCTCATGAACATCAGGAAACATTTTTTCACTGTGAGCGTGACTGAGCGCTGGCACAGGTTGCCCAGAGAGGCTGTGGAGTCTCTATCCTCACAGATATTAAAAAGCTGTCTGGACATGGTTCTGCGCAACCAACTGTAGGTGGCCCTGTTTGAGCAGGAGGTTGGACAAGTTGACCACCAGAGGTCCCTTCCAACCTCAGTCAGTCTGTGATTCCTACCCGCAAGTACCTAACGTTGCTGTATGTACCAATGCCAAATACCTGAGAAAAATCAGCAGAAAGTAAACTTTTATCTGCATCACTCTGAACATAAAAATGGCAACATTTAGTGGACCAAAAATTCTTTGACTTATTCTTTGAAAAATGGGGCAGGGGGGGAGCAGGCTGTAAAATAAAAGTGATTCCATGCCTGTGAACTTCCCTTAAAGATCTAAAAATAAATATCTAAAATAAAACACATCTTTAGACTGGCAGAGATACTACAAGGACTACAACCTTAGTATCTAAACAGAAATAATTGCTTGAAAGCCTAAGACCACAAAAATTTAGAATCCATAATATTTTCCTCTTTAGTAATGTAGCCTTTCACTATCTACAGTAAGACTGCACTACCCAGGTAGTTTTATGTGCATGCACACTAAACATTTATCACAAAACCTAGATTCAAAGCTTAGCACAAACACAACCATATTCAAGGATTAAAACATTGTCCTTTATCATTATTTGGAACAAAGATATAACAATATTTGCAGACTGACTCACAAAAAGAAAATAATCTTTTTTTTTTTTAGACATACAACTTTCAGCAATCGGTGGAGTAGCAGGTGCCTAGAATCACAAATATAGGCTTTACATACTGAGTTCTAGAAGCCACAGCTGCAAACAAGGATATGTCAAATTTAAAAACCTGAAATCTTAACATTCTGTGTCAGGAACATATCACTGACATCAAGTGGTGCAAATCAGAATTGCAATACTAAGCCTCCAAAGAAAGTCATCCAAACGTGGAAATTTCAATGGTTGTCGCTATGTTTGAAAGTTGCAATGTTAAAGAAAAACTCAAGGAGATGATAAAAACTGCAGTGTGTCACTAAGTTAAATTATGATCCTACAGTGCAACTGATTGTGAAGTAAACTGTTTCACTTCATATGTTTTTAAGAAAGATCAGAACACCTTTGAGTCTCAGAAAGGTGGACAAACCACCTCTCCTATCATTCCTTCACACAAGTTCCTTAATAGGCTTGGAGAGGAAAGGTTCATTTTCTTCTACAGAATTCACTGGAAGTTAAGAAAACTAAAAGATTAGAATAGAGAACCTATTTATAAGTAATTTCTTCACAATGTATTAGTGACAAGTAATCCACTTCAAGCATTCACATTTTTTCTCGGACTCTATGGTGCAACAGTTAACCAGACAAGTGCACCCTGGATGTCGTTCTGCTAACCTAGTTTCTCCTACTCCCAAAGACAATCAGGATAGCAGGAGCTAACACCTCAGATTAAAGTATTTCTCTTGACACTTGTTTAAGAAGTGCGTTTTTAACCATGTCGTGTCCTAATGGTTAGGGATGGGGGAAAAAACCCTGCTTTAACAGCAATAGTTTCAAAAGAATGACACCTTCCACTGCATAAATATACCAGGTCCGCTACAGAAGCTATTTGAAAAACACCAAATTGTCTGCATGTCTTCCTCTTTCACAGTTACAAACGACTGGCACAGCTATGAGCTTCCAGGACAATTAAATACTGGTTGTGAAAAGGGAGACACGGCTACACAGAACAACCATGAGAACATTCTAAATTTTGTCTTACAGGATAATAAACTCCTAAACATTGCAGCCTTTACATCAGAACAACCAAACAACAATCATAAAATAAGAAAGCAAACTCATTATATCACTATATCCATGAAACACAGAAAATTGATGTCACCATCAAATGTAGGTATGTCTTCTTAAAAGCATTTAAACGAACTCATGCTTCAAGAAGAAAAAGAAGAGGAGGATACCAATTTTCCAGAAGAGAGACTCTTTTTAGTATTTCCACCACAACTGAAAACCAATTCTGAAGCTTCTTACCACTTCTGTTGATGTTTCTGCATGCTCAGAAGTAACATGTTCTTGAAGAGATGTTTCCGTATAACCCATTTTCCCACAATAAGGACAAGTAAAAGACTGTGGCTGCTCTACAGAGAAAGCTTCTCCACCATAGTACAAATCTGGAACAGAAAGTGTTTAAATAGAGGTTACTTCAAAGCAGTAGCATCATTTATTTTGTTCATGTAAACCTCTGTTTATAAATGTACTTCAGTGTAATCACTGCCAAATTAATCTGGTATTTAACTGAAATGGCTATTTTAATCTTGTAAAAAGGCCATAGGCTGATATTCAAGAAGTGTTCAATTACTGATGACAAAAACCAGACAGACTACATTTCATTTTCATTAGCAAACATAACATAGTTTTCTAATACTCAGTAGGAGCAAAGACTCCTATGATGATGATGCTGATACTGCCAAACCTTCACTTTTCCACCACCCTTCTATCCCATGTACAGGGTCACCTATGGTTATTTTTCAAACATGAGTTTTCAAAAGCTGAACTCTCAACAGTACCTCAAAAATTTAACATAGTTTTCTAATACTCAGTAGGAGCAAAGACTCCTATGATGATGATGCTGATACTGCCAAACCTTCACTTTTCCACCACCCTTCTATCCCATGTACAGGGTCACCTATGGTTATTTTTCAAACATGAGTTTTCAAAAGCTGAACTCTCAACAGTACCTCAAAAATTTAACTAAAATTTAAAAGTCCTCAGTGATACCATATATCAATATTTATGCCA